AGCTAAGGGTAAAAAATAAAACTAGTTCAATATTAATCACCAATCATGCCCTGCAACCTCACGCCACCATGCACACGGCTCGGTCAACAACGTTGACCAAGTGACCGATTCCCATGCACAAGCCTGCACGTAGAGGCCATTCACCACCCCACGACACCCTAAACAAAACCATGGCCACAGAGAGCTCTTAACCTCTCCGAATACCCATCCCAGCCACTGAAACACCCTATAAAACCCCTCCCATTCCCTCCCCATTCATCCACAGGCCTACACAAGCTTCTACCAATAAGTCTCTCTTTCTCATCTTCTCCACAGCCCCGCCTCTCGTGATGGAGATGAGAAAGGTTGCCTGTGCCGTCCTCGTCGTCGCCGCCTCGGCAACCGGCGCCCTCGCCGCCGAGGCGCCGGCTCCTGGCCCCGCCAGCGCGTCCTTCGCGGTCACCCCCGCTGTTGGAGCCGCCATTGGGGCCTCCGTGCTCTCCTTCTTCGCCTTCTACTTGCAGTAACCTTTGACGAGAAAGAGAGTATCGATAATTGTCCTTTCTTTCTTCTCTGATTGATTGTTGTCAGCTCCACCAGTCGCAATTGCTTCTGTCTGTCTTTCTTTCTTTCTTTCTTTCTGCATCGGTTTGGGTTGTAAGAAAGGCCGGATGGGATTTGTTTTGGAGTTAATTCCTAATTGAAATGAAATATTTCCGATTTGTTATAACGTTTCTCCATAACTTTCTATCAAGATCATCTCAGGCTTTGTTCCTTGCCAGTGATCCTAAAAGGTGTTCTAAGTAGAGATCATTTAGTTTATGGACGAACTTTATCGCGATCTTTCAAGCTAAAAGATGCATCACGAGAACAACCTGCCTGTTAATGTCGAGACTCTGCTCACCAGCGGTGAGATCAAGGAAGCGGAATTCCAACAGTTTCGTGCCATGATTAATATTTCGGAAGCCCTTCATCGTTTGAATTGTATTGGGTAAACTCACAGTCGAGTCTTCGGACCCTTTCTCTACCAGGCTCGGGCCCTAGTTATTGGGCCTAATCCAATTTGGGCCGGCTACTAGAAGTCTAGATTCTGCTCACCGGAGGGTATGAAAAGAAGTCGAAACCAAACGTTTTCGTGCAGAATTTATTTTGCTCTAAGCAATTTACCATTAGCATGATGATATCGGGTAAGCTCACGGGGAGTCATCGAACTCTGTTTCCTGCATCGTGATTCGCGCAGAATGAATGATTAGATCAGCGTCGTGGTCATTTCGAACCGGCTTTTTTGGTCCACCAATTTGTCGGTATTAAGCCATGTGTTGCCGGATATGCTGGGATCGAATCCTGACCGTAGGATACGATAATTCCCGGAAGATCAATGGCCAGGATGCGTTTGATCGTCAATTAAACCGGTCGACCAGATAAACCGCTTCGATTATTTTGAGCCGGGTTCTTAAAACGGGTAGCCCCTTTATAAGTCCGGCTACTGCGCACCGGTGGTGATAGTAAGGATTTAAATTAGAGGGTAATTTTGTGCCAAAATAATTTTTCGAAAGCTTTTGGTGATCTGACTGACATCCGGTACTCTCACCGCGATTCCTCGGACTTTGTCATTCCATGATTCGTCTTGTCTCTGATCTTATCAGTTTATTATCCACTCTGTTGCCTGCAACAGTCCCTCTGTTCTTACGACCACTCTCTTTCCTTCCACATTCTTTTGGTCTGTAGTGACAGACTGACTGCAGCAGTGTGTCGATGGACTTAGCAATCAAATAAGGAATCTCACCATTCCTATCACATGAAGAGATGGAGATGCTTTTGGCTCAGCACTGAACGAAGCATCAACAACAATAAGCTGCGGTACAGAGAATTCAGGTTCATTCATGGTTACAGATCATGCATGCATGATATTGAAGACGACAGCTGCTCTATCAACTCGGAGAATCACTCGACCCATAAGCATCGCATACACGAGTGGCTGTGGCTATCTACGAGCTGAAGTGGGTGGAGGACAAGCGGGCAGAGTCAATGAAGTCATGTGACCACATACATTTCTACTGAGGTGATGCATCTTCGTCTTCAACCTCTGGAACTGCTTCACAGGGTATTAGATTAGATTAGCTTGTTTTAGGTATTAGATTAGATTAGATTAGCTTGTCATAATGGCCGACCAAAGCATCACAACATACGAAATCTCCTTTACCACTGTCCTAAATAGCATCATGTTTCGCCAACCTTTAAGCACTGTAATCCTGAGAAGCACTGTTGGAAGAACATATGGGAACAAAGGCAGCTTTACTTCCCCCACTCGTGAAGTGGGAATCGACACTATTAAACGACCCAATGATGGCCGACCAAAGTCACCAAACCTCACCTTTATCTCATCTCTTTTCTGGCCTTCGTTTAGCGGGATAAAGAACACATTCTTTCACGCATCTCGTGCCAAATACACACTCAAAAGGCAGGAAAGACACAGCAGTAGGCCAGCCTTCTTGTGCCCTAAAGTGGTGAACCGCAACCTTTTGATCTCTCTCTCTCTCTCTCTCTCTCTAAGAATAATTTAAAGACAACTTTGGGATTAATGACATGGGTTAGGCATCATCGACACAGTAGGTTTGTTTCCCATAGCATCTGAGAAAGGAGATATCGAAGTGCCACTCATGTCATGACTCAAAAGCACAATCCTTGTTTTAACTCGAGGAACCACAAAAGCATACTTTACCAAATGGATTCCAGCAGTCAATGGCATGTGCAGTTCCACTTTAGGTCAATGATTAGTTCATGGGATCAGTACCATGCATTAGTGGTTGGCATTACATAATTGAAGTAAAAGTGATCAAGCACTTGTTCTTATTAGTTTATCTGTGATCAATCATATATGTGGTGAGGACACACAGATAAACAACACTAATTACTCGCAGAGCAAAAGAAAAATGTCTGTGAAAAGAATCTGATAGAGAGCTGTGTAAGAATCACAACACTCATTTGTCTATCCAACCACAACTGGCATCAGCTAACAAATGTGAGAGAGAGGAGAAGATTGAATTCATTTCTTTGTTCATTAGAAGATGACCAGATTGAATTGATGTGAGTTCTTCAAGTTTCAAGGGGTGAAACAATCTTGAATTCTTCCAAGTGTTGTGAGAAAGGAATCATGTGCAACATAGAGTTGGAATCTTATTGATCTGCTCTTCAATTTTCTTGTCTTCCTTGCTTGCATTCTCATCTCCATTGCAATCAAGTTAAGAGCAACATTTCATGTTGTTGGGGAGAAGATCTTGATACCGAGAGAAAATCTAGTTATTAACAAACAAACACAAATCATAATAAAAGGAGAATATAAGATTCGACAATCCATCCTTCTACCAAGATATAAATCTCACCCTCTTTAAATCTATTCCGGAGAAACTTAGAAGAATTCAATCCTTCGACTCCCTTTCTACCATAATAGACTGCATTAAGCTTTTAACTAACATCCTTGAAAGATTTACAACCTTGTTTTATCTTCAACACCTCCAAGTGGAAGAATAATTCAGCTATTACAGAAAACATCAGATAAAAGGAGATGAGTGACAACAACCGACATGTTATATCACACACAATACAACAATTTAACGTAGGTTACCCTACTGCAAAACCATAGCTAAGAGTTGGACCAATGAAACACTCAGCTTTTTAGATGATTCTTAGGTTAAATATTACCCTTTAAGAGAGGAACAAATCAAGAGAAGAATAAAGAACACTAAACAAAGAGGAGATCACAGTATTTCCGGCTGAAATCATGGGAGCAACTATTAAATGATTAGGAAAAGATAAACAAGTGATAGTGACCCAACTTAATGTAGAATATTAGCAACATGCTGCTCACTGTGCCTAAGACTAGCTAATAGTACATGCAACCACTAGGCCTCAATTGTTTAATGCAGGTGGTGTACACAGTTTCATACACTTTGGTGAGTTAAACTAATGCTTACAAAGAAAGCACCAAACCCAACCTGTAAATTGGTTGGCAAGCATGAATTCTTTTGATTAGAGATTCAAGTTATTGTGAGGCACTTAAAAGTCCACGAGAGGAGGATGGATTCTAATGGATGTAGTTTGGAACTGCATTACATTAATGGATTGAGATGGTAAGAAACAACAATATGCTTTGTGAAGCATAGAGGTTAGTGAGTCATCAAGAGGAGCTGTGGTATAGAAACATGTCCTGCACATTTGTTGTAGCATAGTTGGGACATCAAATTATGGCTTCAAGTACTTGCAGACCATGAATTGGTTTGTTGGGATGAGATAGTATCATTGGAAGTCAACTTAGCATTTAAACCTACATTCTCTGTTGTAGTAATCATTGCTTAGAGGGTATATATATTCTTAGTTTTGTTAAAGTTCACAAGTTTTTTTTAGTAATCCTAATTATATTTAAATTATTGAAGGATTAGAAACTCAACTATGAAAAGATTCTCTTGTAGAATAAGATTTATTTATTCTATCTCAAATTTATTTTAAGAAAGAAGTATAGAAGAAAATAATTTAGGTGCTCTAAGGATTTTCTCTAATAGATCTAGAAGGAGTTGAAAGAGAACATTCTTCGGAATCATGTGAAGGAGTGTATAAGAGATTTTGATTATTTGATCTAGAAAGATTTTCTCTAATAAATCTAGAAAGGATTGAGAGAAAAATTCTTTGAGTGTACAAGAGATTTCAGACTTAAACTCAAGAGATAGTTATTAATTATATTTATTTTTCTCATGTTATAAAATATTAATTTTTTTTTTATGTACATAGAATAGGGTTATCAAACCATATAAATTGTCTTACTTTTCTACTTTGTACTTTGATTGTTGATATTTAAAAAAAAATATTGGCAAAGTCAATATTTTGATTTAAAAAAAATAAAATAAAATTTCATAGCCCTACCAAATGACTTTTGCAAGTCATTTTGGAGATCCAAAGATAAGTAGGGAGATAAAAATCCTTCCAAATAACAGTACAATTATCAATCTAGTTTTCTTATTTTGCATTTTTATTTCCCCATGTAATTATTCAAAGTTACATCTGCATGATTTGCTCTTCTTTCTCCGAGGCAGAGAGTGAATGATGCTAATGTGACATCCAGGCGAGAGCTTCTCCTGCTGCTGTCTGCATCAGTACCAACACATCAATGTAACACATGCAGCAGTCTTTTATACTGCCATCTCCTTCCAAGGTAAGAACTGCTCCTCTTCTCTCCCTTGTGCTGTTGAGATGCTTAGATTAAACCCTCCCTTCCTTCCACATTTAGCAGAACCCCTCAGTTTTGTCCCTCTGCAACCATCATGCATGTTCTTCCCTACACGTGTTGCATCCGCCATTAATGTTGCAGACCTTCTCCCGCTAAAGTCTAAAGTTAGCATGGCTGGGGTTTGCAGCACCGTATTTTGTTGTGTGGGTAAGTTGGAGCAGTATTTTTAGATTTACACGTACTTCTCTGCCATGCAGATTACTTTCTTTAGCCACCTTTGCATGCAAATAATTGGATTTCTTTCTTTATGATAGATTACTTGTGTTAAATACTAAGAGAATCAAATCTTCTTCTGACACCATTTAGATAAATAACTATTTACAACTAAACTGTATATAAATATATGTATATAATAAAAGAAAAGAAAAGGAGAATCCACGCAAAGCCATCTCCTTCCTTCCTTCCCTTCCTCCCTCTTAAATTGCATCCTCTTCTCGTCTCCCTTCATTCCCTCCCTCCTCTTCTTCTCCCATAGAGACAGAGAGAGAGAGAGTTGCCGGATGGCAATAATGGAACTGGATCTGGACCGCCTCAGGGCCGTCCGAGTCATAGGCCGGGGAGCCATGGGGACTGTGTTCCTAGTCACCTCCCGTTGCAGTGGCGCCACCACCACCGATCCCCAGCCTTGCCTTCCCCCTCTTTTTGCCCTCAAGGTGGTGGAGAAGCACTCCCCTTCCGCCAAGCCGGACTCTGACCGCCGCGCCCGCTGGGAGCTCAACCTCCTCTCCCGCCTCTCCTCGGCGGGCGGCGACGGACAACGCAGCCAGAGCCACCCGTTCCTACCCTCGCTTCTGGGCTCGGTGGAGACGCCGGAACTGCTGGCGTGGGCAGTACCCTTCTGCTCTGGTGGCGACCTGCACGCCCTCCGCCACTCCCTCTCCCCCGACGCTGCCTTCTCACCCACCGCCATCCGCTTCTACCTCTCCGAGCTCGTCGCCGCGCTTGCGCACCTCCACTCCCTCCGCATCGCCTATCGCGACCTCAAGCCCGAGAACGTCCTCCTCCAGTCTTCCGGCCACATCACCCTCACAGACTTCGACCTCTCCCGCCATCTTTCCACTTCCGCTTCCCCCTCCGCCTCGTCCACAGCTCCCCCTCACCCGCTGCCGCCTGAAAACCGGCCACGCCGTCGCCACCGACGACAACTCACCCGCATCTTCGCCTTCGGCGCTGCCAGCGCCTACGCCGAGGCCGACCATCACCGCCACCACCTCAAAAAGGCTCGGTCCGCCAGGGTCTCCCCCGTGAGCCGTCGCAGAATCAGCTTCTCCACGTCCGGCACCGCCGGCGGAGGAGAGCGGTCGTTCTCGTTCGTGGGGACAGAGGAATACGTATCGCCGGAGGTGGTGCGCGGTGAGGGCCACGGCTTCGCCGTCGACTGGTGGGCGCTCGGGGTCCTCGCCTACGAGATGGCCTACGGCCGGACGCCCTTCAAGGGGCGTAACCGCAAAGAGACATTCCGCAACGTGCTCACCCGGCCGCCGGAGTTCCCCGGGGGCCGCCGCTGCGACCTCACCGACCTCATCGAGCGCCTCCTCGCGAAGGACCCCGCCCGCCGGCTGGGGTCCGCCGCCGGGGCCGACGAGGTGCGAGCTCACCCCTTCTTCCGCGGGGTCCGGTGGGAAATCCTCGCCAAGGTCACGCGGCCGCCCTTCCTTCCGCCGCCGGAGGAGGACCTCGAGGCGGCAGTGATCGGGCTCGGCGAAGATGGGGGCTTCGACGTCAGGGACTACTTTAACGGCCTCCGACAGCCGGCATCGCAGCCGTCGCCGTCGATGGGCTCGTTGACGGAGTTCTAACGGCAGACGCTCTCCAGTTTTCCTCTCCGTCTCCGTCTATTCTCTAGATCTGTACATAACGGAATCCCGTTAGTTGGGGAGCGGGGGGGGCCTTTTAGAATTGAGTAACGTATGGGGTCAAAATGTAAAACTCCGTGAACGTCCCCACGTGCGTCGAATCCATCCGTGCCAGAGTTGGATGCTGTTGCACGTGCTGGTTGTCCCGTTCTCAAGCAGCCAACGCAACGCACGTTTGAGGGTCGTCACATCTGAAGCTGATCCATTGTATTCTCTTTTGTCATATCAAACTGCACATCAAACTCCTAATCTTCGGAAAAAAAATTAGAGCAGCTCTATTCTCAATCAATTTATTCTTTACGATTAATGTTCCTCATCATAAAAAGAAAGATGAGTTAATAATATTTCATGTTCCATATTGATGGAAAAATCTTACGTTGAAACTGTTCGCTATTATTAGCGAGTGTTCAGAAAAAAAAATTGTTGACGTCTTGATTAGTTTAACGTGGTCCAGAACCGTATGTTCAAGGTTGTCCAAGGTAAAAACATCGAATTCCCGATGTATCATCTATACGAAGATCGAGGTTGAGATAGGTTTCCCGACCTCATCTCTCCGACACCTATGTTAGTAACCCGAGGTATATAAGTGCAGATGTGAATAGTCAAAAGAAGTAAGCACATTTTGCTTTATGCTTTTATCGTAATGGATTTCTTCTCATATATGTTGGATTCTCTCAACTCACGCGTTTTGGGCATAATTTGCCTTACGCCTCCACTGTAGTAGATTTCTCTTTATGTGTCTCGAGCACATTTGCCTTTTTGCCTCCGCCATGATAGATTTTTCATCGCGTGGGCGGAGGTTTTTCAACTCACATGTTTCGAGCACATTTTGTCTTATGCCTCTGCTATGATGGATTTCGCCTTGCACGGATCGAGTTTTTCCGACTCACACACATCAAGCATATTTTGCCTTATGCCTCTGTCATTACGAATTTTCCTTCACGCGAGTTGAGTTTTTCTGATTCATGCTAGGCACATTTGGCCTTGTACCTCTGTCGTGAAGGGTATCTTCTTACATAGGTCAGGTTTTCTCACCCCATATGCACCGGGCACTTCTGACTTTGTGCCTCTACCATGATAGATTTCTCCTTATGCGAGTCAGAATTTCCTGACTCACGCACCTTAAGCACATTTTGCCTTGTGCCTCGATCATGGCAGATTTCTCTTCACGTGGGTTAGTTTTTTTGACTTATGCACATCGAGCACATTTAGCCTTATGCCTCCATCATGATAGATTTCTCTTCACAAAGGTCGATTTCTCTTGACTCATGTGCTTCGAGCATATTAGTCAGGTTTTTTCAGCACACACCTCGAACATATTTTGCCTTATTCCTTCGCCGTGACAGATTTCTCCTTGCACAAGTCGAGTTTTCTTGACTCATACACCTCAGACATATTTTGCCCAATGCTTCCACCATGGTGGATTTTTCTTCATGTGGGTTGGGTTTTTTTACACCTCAAGCACATTTAGTCTTATGCCTCTATTGTAGAGGGTTTCTACTTGTGCAGATCGGGTTTTCCTGACTCACGCGCCTTAGGCATATTTGGCCTTATGCCTCTATCATAGCAGATTTCTTATCACGCGAATTAGGATTTCCCTATTATTTGTCTCCCCTAAGAAGTTTTTTAGGGCTCTTACAAAAGGGGTCTGAAGTGCAACGTTTAGTTCATACAATATTAGTGCATTCGGGAACTCCTCATGTGGGTTGGGTTTTCCTAACCCACATGCCTCGGGCACATTTTACTTTATGCTTCCGTCATAGTAGATTTCTCCTCGTTCCAAGTTAGCTTCTCCCGACTCATGTACCTCAGGCACACTTTGTTTTGCGCCTCTATCATGATAGATTTTTCTTTATCTATGTTGGGTTTTCTTGACTCATGCATCTCAGGCATATTTTGCCCTGCACCTTTATCGTGGCATATTTATCTTCACGTGGGTTGATTTTCTCGGCTCGCACACCTTAAGCACATTTTGCCTTATGCCTCTATAATGGTTGATTTCTCTTCATATGGGTCGAGTTTTACAAACTCATGAGTCTCGGGCATATTTTGCCCTGCGCCTCCACCGTAGTGGATTTCGCTTCACACGGGTCAAGTTTTCCTAACTCACTCGTCCCATGTACATTTGGCCTTGTGCCTCTACTGTGATGAATTTTTTCTCGTGCTAGTCGGGTTTTCCCAACTCATGTGCCTTGGACACACTTTGCCTTATACCTCCGTCGTAGCTAATTTCTCCTTATGCAGGTTGAATTTTTTCAATTTACGCATCTTGGACACATTTTGCCCTATACCTTAGTTGTGACAGATTTTTCTTCACATGAGTTGGGTTTTCCTTACTCATATGCCTCGGGCATATTTGGTCTTGTACCTATGTTATGGTGGGTTTCTCTTTGCACGAGTTGAGTTTTCCCAACTCATGAGCCTCAAGCATATTTGGTCTTGTGCCTTTACCGTAGTAGATTTCTCCTCGCATGGGTTAGATTTTCTCAACTTACGAGCCTCTAGCACATTTTGTAATACGTCTCACCTCCGTCGTAGTAGATTTCTCTTTATACGGATTGAGTTTTCTTGATTCATGTACCTTAAGCACATTTTGTCTTGCACCTCTGTTGTAACAAATTTCTTTTTATACGGATTAAGTTTTCCCGACTCATATGCCTAGGGCACATTTTGCCCTACGCTTCCACCGTGGCATATTTCTATTCACATGGGTTGAGTTTTTCTGACTCACATGCATCAGGAATAGTTGGTCTTGTGCCTCCGTCATGGTGGATTTTTCATTGCACGGGTTTTTTTGATTCATGCACCTTGGGCACATTTTGTCGTGTCTCCACCATGGTGGATTTCTCCTTTATGAGTTAGGTTTTTCTGACTCGTATATTTCTGACACATTTTGCTTTGTGCCTCTATCATTGTGTATTTCTCTTCACATGAGCTGGATTTTCTCAACTCACACACCTTAGTCACATTTGGCCTTGTGCCTCTGCCATGGCGGGTTTCTCTTTGTGTGCGTCGAGTTTTCCCGACTCATACACCACATGCACATTTGGCATTATGCCTGTCATGACGGATTTCTTCTCGCACAAGTTTGGTTTTCCCGACTCATACTCCTCGGGCATCTTTTGCCTTGTACTTTCGTAGTGGTAGATTTCTCTTCACACAGGTCAGATTTTCTTGACTCATACATCTCAAACACATTTTGCTTTGCACCTCCACCATGATAGATTTCTCTTTACATGGGTCAGATTTTCCTAACTCATGCATCTCAAGCATTTTGCTTTGTGCCTCCACTATAACATATTTATCTTCATGCGGGTCAAAATTTTCTAACTCATGCGCTTTAGGCTCATTTAGCCTTATGCCTCCGTCATGGTGGATTTTTTTCTCCAGTGCATAGGGTTCTCCCGAGTCATATATCTTGGGCATATTTTGCTTTGTACCTCCGCCATGACGGATTTCTCCTCACTTGGGTCGGGTTTTACCGACTCATACGCCTCAGGCATATTTTACCATGCACCTCCGTCGTAGCAGATTTATCTTCACACAGATTAGGTTTTCTCGACTCACGCACCTCGAGCACATTTTGCCTTGTGCCTCTATCGTGATGGATTTCTCTTCATGGGAGTCAGGTTTTCCTAACTCATGTGCTTTAGGCACATTTTGCTTTGCACCTCCGCTATAACAGATTTGTCTTCACATGGGTCGAATTTTTTTGACTCGTGCACCTTAGGCACATTTGACCTTGTGTTTTCGTCGTGATTTGTCTTCACGGTGGGTCGGGTTCTCTCGATTCAGCGCCTCATGCATATTTTATCTTGTGACTCCGTTGTGGTGGATTTCTCCTCATACGGGTTGAGTTTTCCCGACTCATGTGTCTTAAGCACATTTTGCCTTTGGTCTCCATCGTGGCGAATTTTTCCTTATGGGGTTTGGCCTTTCTTGACTCACATGTCTCAGGCATATTTGGTCTTCTACCTCCACCATGACGGATTTTAGCACTTTTTTAGTCTTTCATCCGGTACTTTTCCAGTCTTTCATCTATTAGTGTCCCTTTGGAATTGTCTCGAAGGGACACTTGTCTAAATCGTAGAAGGAGAGAGATAAACTCCCTCCATGTAAATCCTCCCATACCATATGGATAAGGCTTATTTATCCATTTGAGTCTCCAAGGCCTCCTTAGTAGCCTTCTCTATTTTGTACCAGTACCCTACAGGGCAAGTCGGTCCTCGAGTCCCTTGTAGTCACGGTATCGGTTCTATAACCGATGAATCTTCCACCATCCTACTCTTCTGCCTCCTTAGGTTAGGATGTCTCTCCTTTCTCGTACAAGCTCCTTCCGATCTACTAGCCACCAAACGATCAAGTTTTACGTTTTATTTTTAGACAACCCAAGAGTGGAGGATGTCTCAAGGTAGTTTAGACCTGTAAGCATAGGGTTGTTCGAGATGTCTCCAAAGTGAAAACATCGAACTCCTAATGTGCCACCTATTTAAAAATCGAGGTCAAGAGAGATTTATCGACATGATCACATCCATGTTAGTTACCAGAGGTGTACGAATGTAGACAGCTTAGTCAAAAGAAATAAATCATCCTAGCGTTGAAGGATAGATAGCTTCTAACTATCACAACATCTTCTTCTTGGCATCTTTTACATGTGGATAGACAGATGACTTGGATCTTTTCCTCCAATCAAAAACTCTACATGACAACTATATATATCAGATAATGATTCCCTATCAACAAAAATAACGTGAGCATTGGCTAATTGGACCTTGGGGATCTGTTTTGTATTGTCAATCTAAATGCACATATTAGAGAAGATATCCTTAGCAACACTATGCACTAGACTGTTCCTTTTATGCAGTAATGATTGGCACTGATGTCTCTCTATAGCATGTTTGAGACTGAGTTGTTCCAAAGTTAAGACAACAGATATATGATTTATCCATCCATCTAATCTATGGATCAAGAAAGATATAATAGCAGCTTCCATATTGCTAGAGAAGGAGACAACAAAAATAAGTAGACGTTCAAGAGGGCCAAGTATAGGAGGAACTCATGTCAGGCATGGAGTTCCGCAAAAAGACAGTAGAAACATGCCATGGAATTTAATCTTTCATCATAAACAAGTAGAACAAAAAGTTCGCAATCCATGCACAGAAGAAGACACAGCATCCCCTAATTCTGCTCATGACTTGTCTGCTTCGATACCCTAAGACTTGTAGAGACCAACCAAATAGGACTGAATCCTTTCATTTTTGTGTTCTTGTTGCATTCCGATTGAAACAAGGCAAGTGCAAGGGGTCCCAAGAAGCACCCGTCCTTGTTTGCTGGATGAACATATGGAGAGAAAGCCCTCGTCAGCATCTTGCCCATGTTAGCACAATGCCAAGAACTCCCACAAGGTCCCCCATGTCTTGGACTTGTCATCCCTCCTTTTGCAATTTATTGCATTGCTGTGTTGAGACAAGTTGTGCCTCTGGTCTCTTTCTTCCTCCTCATTGAGATGTTGTAGCTCACAAAAAGAAAGAGTTGCATTAATCAGATGATGATACTGAGAGAAAAAAATCTTGATCACAGGACTCTTCTCGATCTATATCACCCATACAAAATTCGCCATTGATAGTTGTGTTTCGCCTGGTTGACAAATGGTCCCATTAAGCCTTTTCTCCCCTGCAGTCATGCTCAGCATCTGCAACATGAAAGAGACCCAGCACTATTATATACGTTCTTACGAATTAGAACCAAGAAAAAAGAAAGAGATACTTGAGGGCCTAGTGGTCATCCAAGATGACAGATCAGTCAGCATCTCTGTTTGTCTTATCTATTGGACTATGTTTTACATGAATTACTAGGAACTGATAATTTAATATGAAATTAAAGCAGAAGATCCTACATCGAGTGCCATGCTGCTGTTTGCATATATTTCCTACATAATTCAGGTAGCATATATGGAAATCTGAGACATTCTACCAACTCATGTATGAGATGAGGTGTTAGGAACATAAACTACCCAAAATCTGGTTTATCTATTAATTAAAGCTTTTGTATAGATTGGTTATTTTATGCAAGCAAACGTAGAGTAAAGAATGTCTTGACGTATAATCACAAATCTGCAAGAATCTAATTCCACATTAAACCAAATGCACCTCTCTCCATGTGACAAGAACCTTAAGATCTACCCTATTTGAGTAACACCAACATATCATGGCTTGTTTCAAAGAATTTTGAACTGCAAATTTGACACTGCATGCAGCAAACTACTTGTTTATGTGTTCATCAATATCAGCACATCAAAATGTGTATCTGTCAGTCTGTACATGTAGTAGCTTCTGACCTTCTAGTGCTTAAAAATCACCCATGTTGTTTCCTCCATTTAGCTGCACTCTTTCGCCACATTAATAAACCCAACTACTGATACTTTCTCATCATGCACAAGCAGGTATAGTCAATACACACCTCTAGGATAAATATAAAGGGTGGTTCGGTGAGCAAGGCTCCCGCTAACATAGGGTCTGGTTAAGATTAATGTACCTAACTATGCAATTTCTTTTTCTTTTTTATAACATGTACTCAATGTTTACCACTCAACTATTGTACATATTGTAAGAGCAAACAAAATGAACCAATAAACAGTATAAAATCATGGACAAGCAGATAAATGTCTAATTGAACTTGTTAAACAATATTTATAGATTAAAAAAACTATATTCATAAAAAGGTCACCTCCATTCCTCTTTCTGTCCCTTTTAAATTCCTTTGTCATCTCCTATCAATCTTTCCCTACCTTCTCTTGTCCTATTTCCAAAGGAACCTTGACCCATGCTGTGCCCACCCAATAATCAGAAGGTGACCCGCATTTTCACTTCAGTAGCAATCAGTCATGCCACAGCCAACAATCTGTAGCATCACCCCAAGATGGTCAAGCTGGTCCCCCCTGAGCTGCCAAAGAACCCATCTTCTCCTCCCCTGATGGCAGCACCAGCAGGGTGCACTCATTAATAATAAATCTATAATACCTAAACTGATCATTCCTTGTAATGGTAACATCCTCTTGTCATTATCTTCAAATACATGAACCTCTAATAAGCCAGTCAAGTTTTGCATGATATATAACTCATTGTATCAGAGCAGTGAAAGGGAACTAACTGAAATTTAGAAGGACAACTTGGATCTAACAGGTCAACATTTGAGAAGTATAGCCTTAACAGTTGCCTTGAATGAAAATTCAAGTTCAGGATTTTAGAAAATGTTGATCCTCATCTATAATATCATGGTGCTCACTCACATAGTGCTGATTTATCTGCACTCCAGAGTTACACTTAGACACACAAGTTTTTATCTAAAAATTCCATCTTTCCAACTTCACGGTGAAAACCTTTTACAATATTGCAAAAAAGAAAAGCATCTTTTTGTGATTTATGAATTTTGCCTTTTGGGCCCCCAAAAAAACCATTATTGAAGGTCTCCAAACTGCAGATACCAAATCAAAGATGGAGATGCAAATGCAAATGCATATAGAACAGAATCCTCAATCTTAAGAAAAGCCAGATAGCTTAAATGCATTTACGTTCCAAGCCTTCCAAGATTCCGATTAACGACACACATCCGAATACCAAATCAAGGATGGAGATGCAAATGCAAATGCATATAGAACAGAATCCTCGATCTTAAGAAAAGCCAAATAGCTTAAATGCATTTGCATTCCAAGTCTTCCAAGATTCCGATTAACGACACACATCCGAACTAATTCCACCCAGAATAAGACCTAATAGTATAGGGAGGATGCACAAAAGAACAAGTCGGATACAGATCAGAAGATCCACTGCCGCCACCAAGCTTACCGATGGTCCGTTCTGTTTGGAATCATGACAAGCATATACGGAAATTGAACAGACAGAGATGGAGAAGACGACGAAATCCAAGAGTATGCTCACCAGAACTCTCTCTCCCTCTCCGCATTGCCGAAGAAGCTTCGAAGGGAAGCCTTCTCCGGCCATTCGAATGCGCAATGACGTAATTATTATTTGAGGAAATAAAAAAAGGTCCGCCGACTATCCGGTGTGCTTACCTGAGATCACTCGAACGCTAAAACGCTTCCGAAAAATAATTTTCGACCCAAAAGCGTTCGAGCTGCGACGCCCTAAGCTCACTGCGGTGAGCAGAATCTGGCCCCTTTCTTGATCTAACCGAACCGAACCGGACATTGTAGAATAACCGGTTCAATTGTACGGCCCGCTGTGTCAGATGGCAAACTCGGATCCTATAAAATTGACGGGCGCATGCATCATGACCGCTTATCCATCGGGAATTACGACATCCTACGACCAGCACTCGATATGAGTGGGTCCGACGAGGACACTTCAAGCCGGTCCTGATTGACGCGTCATTTTGGCGGTCGACCGTGATCAAATCGATCACTCTACACGAAGCAAAAAGTTCCGATGACTCTCCAGTGAGGTTACCAGATATAACAAGACTGTTTAATGCTTACAGAAAAATTATACCAGCACAAAAACCATGCGATTTCCACTTTCTCATCCTCACCTTCCGGTGAACCGAACCGAGAAGCTGGAATAAGGGTCCGAAGACCACCAGTGAGGTTACCACGTATCTGTCCAAACAAGATAACACAAGGATACAAGACTCTTACTCTTAACAATTTTACAACATCAGGCAGAAACAAAATGAATCATAATGCAAGTTCGACGAAGACAGAAAGATATCACGCCCAAATCATCTCAAGAAACGAGCGGCAGCGGAAGTGATTACACGATACATGAAGCAAAAGTTGCGCCAAAACTTCAGTGTTCACGGGGAATCCTCCTACTCTCCTTGCAGAATGGCAAAGAGGCAAATGACAGCTTCAATGGTAACAAAAAACATCTTTCTTAAGAAGAGTTGCCTGGAACTTTGAAAGAGAATCCTTCAACTCCACAACTGAGATCAAATTCCCCGATCTGAAATATCTGCATATACATGAAGAAAAGATTTTTGTAAGGTTTTCAAGCCCCTATCAACGCATTGGAAAAGATAATGTGCCGATAGCATGATTCATCTATCCTTTTCATATGTTTCATGGCAACAATCTAGTACAACCACATGGCAGGACCAAGAACATTATAGAAGACTAGCCAACAGCTTTGTTAGAGATATCGCTACTAGAAGACTACATTAAGAGCACTTTGCAACCTTAAAGTATGTAAAGATTTCTCTAGTTATTTTTCTTGTATTTTTATTGTTTTAAACAAAATATTAGTTTAGTTTAGTCGCGTATGTCCTTTACTGATATCTAATAGCATTCAAATCTCCAATATTTAACCAGCAAGGCATGTATATTATTGTTTATTACAAAAATCCATTATTGCTACATTTCTCAACCCATATAGCATGAAAGATCAAAATTAGGGTGAATTTAATTCTATGTGACATTAAACGATAAAGCTAAGGACTACATGGATTATCTAGTGAAGTAACACATATGGCATGAGGTTAGATCATCTGAATGGAAGAAAACAAAGATCAGGTTGATGCTGGAATATTTGATTTGATCATGCCTGGAAAAGTCCATTAGATAAAAGCTGGCTTCCTCAAAATCTACACAAGCTCTGAACTTTCATGCCGCAGAAGACTTCTCAATAATGAACTTAACAACATCCTTCAGCAATCTGGCAAGAAAGATTTAATGCATACCTCTAGAAACACACACTAAAAGATCCCAGACTCCATAGTCCGATAATCGTCTTCCATAAGTAAAAGAACAGCAGTTGTGACAAGCCTGCAAAATTGTTGTGTTAGCGAGGACATTGATTCAGATAATAGAAAAACTAAAAGCTAATAGCAGAGAACAAAGAGAAATGAAGAAATGCAACTCATGCAAGTTATTATAACCGAAAGCAAGAACCATTGACCAAATATCACACATAAGGAAATTCAAGATAGTTTATATATAATTATAAAGATTTTACCTTCATTGACCTCACCACAAACCAGAGAGTATAGCACTCTAAAATTTCAAGAAACAAGATAATAATGCAGAATGAACACCATAAATCTCAATGACCAAGAAGAGTGTCGTAATAGTTTAGTCAATGAGAGATAATTGACCCATACGTATGGCTTTAAGCATAATATAACAATAATAATATATCTGATGATTCTCATTCAGACTCAAACTAGTATGGAAACAACATACTTGAAAATAAGTTGAAATGATCCAAATTTCAATAAGGCATGTTCAGACTTTTGTCCTAAAATTATTATTCTTTTATCCCTGAATGAAATTACAACTGTTCCTGACTTCCTGTGAAGATTCAAGAACAGTAGACAGAAGCAGGAGACATTTTTAACAAATTTCCTATTTTTGGCCTTTTTTCATTATTTGGTTGTATGGAGAAGAAATAACTCTTTTTATACTAGACTGCATTAGAAAGTTTGCCGGTATGGTCAACAGCATGTGATTTGTTGTCATCCAACAAAGTGAAAGCACATAACTGCTTAAGTTTTAAAATGCATAAAGGTTTTAGATGAACTTGAAATGCAAACAATAGCCACCTAGAAGCATACCTGTAAATAACAATGATAAAAATGCTGCAATAAAAAGCAAGCTTGATTATTCTGTATTTCTTCTCTTCATTCAGCAGTCTAAAGATCTCAGTAACATCAATTAGATGCTTCCTTTTCATATATCTGGAGTAGAAAAAAGTGTATCATATGTAAAGTTATTCCAGTTCCAATGAACTTATAAAACATAAGATGCCACAAGTCGCAAAGGATAAGTAATGAAAACCGACTAACTGGAACATGCACACTGTAATGGTCGAAACATGCCATCAGCAGTTAACAATAACATACTGATGTAAGATGTCCATTTTATAAGTTACTTCAGGATATATACAGAATGAAGTATATATTCAAGTTTTAAATGACAGTGAATCAAGGTATTCTCTCTTTTATGTTAGGCAAAGCTTGAAGTGAAACCAAGTCCAGTTTCCTAACCAAGACTTTATTAATAAAGTCAAAGTAGTATACTAAACAACTACAAGAAATGTTATATCCTTTTCTAAGTGATTGAACCATACATTAACTTTTGATATAGCCTCCTGACCCTGCAAAAACATAACTAAGCCCATCCCCTGTTACAAAAAATGTATAGTCATGCATATGAAAATGAGGAAGCATTGCCAAACAGAACCTTCTTCAATTCCATATATCATCCACAAAGCTGAACTGTGGTTAAAAGACTCCCACATGCATCAAGTCTATTAGAACTATATAAAACTTTTCAGGGATACCACAACTATCTGATTAATCAGGTAGACTGATGCATTTAGATTTAGAAAATTGTAAGACCAGAAGATATCTTAGAACTAAATAATTAACACTTAGTACTTATCCAGCAGACAATGATATGACTAATGCAACAAAAACATCAAACATGAACATCTTGATGGCTCTGAAAATTCTCAAGGAATCTACTAAGCACATCAACAAATAAAAAGAAGGCATATAACCATAGGAAAGAGATGATTCGTACAGCTTTGTGTGGTAATAAGTGATGGGAGCCATTAGTAGAAATGGAAACCAATGCCATGTCAGAAGGAATAAAATGCATAAGGTTCCCTGCACCATGAACTCTGGAACCACAACAGCATTGATTCGTGATGATAAATCATATGGGTTGATATAGTCAAACTCCAAATCAGATAAGCAAATGAGCTGTTACATAAGTAAAACCAAGAAAAGTTAGAAGGTCAAAAAGGTACATGGTTAAAAAATTTTAAATACCCTGTTACAACCCCCAGGCAGTTTGTACAGATACAGGTAAATTGACCTTAATATATTAACATAAGAAACCAACAAATATACCAAAATCCCTATTTTAATCAGACAAATGAGAAACAGAGAAGCAACTTATTGACACGTTAAATGAGAAACAGATAAATGAACTTCTGGTACTTGATAAATAAAATTGCATATGGTTGGATAAGTGGAAAAAAAAAAAGGATAATGACTGTATGTCAGAAGAGGATGTTAGATGACTGAGACCATATTGCACTTTATACCAGTTTGCCTTGCCTTAAATAAATAAAGAACATGTACACGTTTAAATTGACAAGTAAAGGCTACTAACATGCATTACGCATTTTTAGGATTTGTACAATCCTTAAGCAAGCCCATAAATACAGGCAGAAGAATCATTTCTTCAGTTTGTGTATGTCTGCCTGATGCTGGAGCTTATACATTCAAATATATCATAACTGGAAAGCTACAAGAACGACGGATTAGTAATTCCAAGCTGCCAGCTACTAGGTGATGTAGAGAAAAAGATCGGCATCCTTCACTTTGAAGATAGATGGAGCTACTGTACCTTCCACCAGGTTGTAGAAACTGTGCAATCAAAGGGAACTTCAAAGGCAATGTTGGAGCTCAAGCTGGTGCTAAAGAACCAAATAGAACTCAAGATCGTGTTTTTACACGTTCACGAACTATTCCAAAACCAAGGGGCCAAAAAGGTAAGGGGAAGCTAACAACTTATACCACGACGCAGGCACCAGTGTCGAGTTAACAACATAAAGGCTGCATTTTTTTCCCGTGAAATCTCACAACATAAGACAAATATTAACCACACAAGCTGAAGACAACGGACACGGCAACAATCCGAAGAAAAAAAGGCTCCAAAATACACGAAACAAAGCCAAAAAACAGAGCACGGTTTGGGATGTTCTTGAGAGATGGCGAGTCAAAAGGGGGATACAAGCAGGGTTTAGGGTTTAAGTTTCACCTGATAGGCGCTGAATCCGATGAGAGAGATCGCAGCGGCGAAGGCGAGGAGCCAAAGGAAGAGCTCCCACGCCATGGCGGACCCGATCTTGTCGCTTCAAAGGGGGAGAAAGGGATCGAATCGAACCATAGGATTCCGGATTTCGACTTTGGGCATTAAGCAACACTTGTCAAGTAATACGCAACACTTGTCTTACGCGTCCATGTTTACGCGCACAGCCGAGTGGAGGATTCAGTGGAACCCACCTCGGAAACCACTCCACATCTCCAATCAAAAAGGAATCCATAGAAATGGGTAACATATAGGTGGGTGAGTGAACTTTGTTTCTTTCCACTGAAACGTGGAACTAACATTTCACCAATACATTAGTGGAGTGGAGTGGGTGTTCAAATCAAATCGAAATTAGCATCAAAATCGAATTGGTTGAGAAGAGATTTGATCGGAATCGATTCATCAATAATTTGATTTTAAAAACTATAAATGATTCTAATTCTAAAGAATATATTTTTTTTATTTTAATTGATTAATTTGATTCGAATTAAATCGATCTTAATTTTAAATATATCAATCTATCCAAATTCAATTACTTAAGTCTTTAGTCGATTCAATTTGATTAATCAAACTGACGTAGGGACCCCTTTAACGATGTTAGTCCTATCAATAGATCTAATTTAACAAATCTTTTTTTGTCGATCCAATTCAGTTAAACTGGTTCATAAAATGAAACTAATTCTTTTGAAATATATTTATTTATTTATTTAAAATTATAAATCGACTAATCGAATCGAATTAATCAATTTAGATCGAATTCAATTAGGAATGTTCAAATCAGTTTTGATCTACTTACTTTGAATCAAAAAATCAGATCAATTCATTTTGATCCATTTTAATGAAGCTAGAAAATTGTAGTTCATAGTCTAAATCTTAATTGAATGCCCATAGATCTCACTAACATCTCAACAATTGCTTTATTAATCACCATCTAATTCAGAGAAATATATTTCAAATTCAAAAGTTTAATATCTCCTCACATATTAATAAATTAAGCATGGTTAAATTTTTTTCCTATATAATAAGAATTGAATGATCGATCTAAAAAATCATTATAAATTAGAATACTCATATTATCATGATTTGAGTCTTGACAAATTAACTAGCGTATCAATTTTGTTTAGCCCAAATGACTAGTCAAAATAAATACATTCATCAAACCAAATCTTGTCCAATATGAGACTAATCAAGGTGTAACTTAGTAACTTAGTGGTCACTCCACTCACTATGTCTAAACATCGTAGCTTCATAAGTTAACTGGTCTATTAATTTTATTTGACCCAAACTATTAGTAAAAATACTTAAACTAAAGTATATAATAATACATTCATGAGTCAATCTTAATCTTGCCCATTTTTATTATTAGATTAATCGAGGTATTCCAGCATCATTTATTTGATTAGTTAGTCAAGCATGTCTTATTCTTTGCTCCCTCTAATCCTCTTTCTATTTGGGCAAGAAGACATAACCATAAAACTGAGTTATAAGAACAAAAAATTCCACTCTTTGTGGAGAGAGCATGTGATATGCTTGTCGCTGAAACCTGATCACCTCAAAACTCCCTTGTAAATGATGTCCATGTTCCTCAGAGTTGGCTGCTCCTCCCCCCTCCTGAGAACAAAGATATGAGAGGATCCATATGGCACGTCAACTTGTGTCATGTGACCACCACATCCACAGCTGAAGCACCTTAAGATATGAGAGGGACAGGACCATACCATCACAAGATAGGAATCAGGCTTGTGCATGCAGTAAACATTACTTCTCCACAGCCATTCCACAGTGCTATTCCACAGATGCCACAGCATGCTGATCCAAGGATAAGAGAGCATTAGAACATCTTCCATGGATTCCATGAGAAACATAAACTTCACATTCTAATACACACGAGAGAGAGAGAGAGAGAGAGGAGCATGGGGCAAAAGCATTGAAGAGGATGTGTTCATGGAATCCCCATCCGACCAAAAGAGCAACAGATAAGCATGGATCAAAATAATTGAAGGGAATAAAAAGCCCATAAGATGTGCTTCCCTCCTATCCAACAAGGATCACACACTCCCCTCGTGCTTGTCTGTCTGCTGATTCTAATGATCAAGACAAGCTTCACACCCCCCTACTAAATGCAGGAAACATGAAAGTACTAGCACTGCTCCACTGCATGCGCTGACAATGCATGAGCATCACTGCTCGAAGAAGACTGCTGAATCCCTACCATCTGAATCCAAAGAATGTGATGATAAGGACACTCCACTTGCTTAAATCCTTTGGGTTACAATAATGCTCTCTTATGCAGGCACTTTAGGAATATATGGCACACATTCTCAAGAACCAACTCGAGTATAGCATCTGAGAACATGATGCCTACTTGTCGATCGCACAGGTAGAATAAGGGAGTTTACAGATCCTTGGCATTAGCATGGTGGATATGTAGTAGATGTTCCCTTATCCCTTATGCTATCCCAATTCCAAGGTCAACCTCTTGAAGATGCTGAATTCTATGCATTATCCTCATGGCACAAGTCAATGTGCAAAAGGTCCTTTTGGAAGGGGTATTGGAACCAGTGCTTGTTAAAGATTGTGGTAACCAAAGATTAGAGCAGTGTAATGGCATTATTTTATCGAAACCGAAGCTAATTATATATGAAGTTCCTTTCCGTGCAGTCCTAAGCTATCATAGTTTATTAGCAATACTCTTTGATTAGTGCTAATGAGATCTTATAATGATTTTGCAGCAGGCTTCTCATGCAGAACACAACAAGTGCCAATGGATGCAAAGTTAAAAGAGAGAAAAGGAAAGGGTGAGAGGAAGGAATATAGGTGACTCACATGATAGTTAATCAAAGAAGAACTCCAATTAAAATTCTTTTGCATTGGAGTTGCCAAGTAAGTGTTGACTGAAGGAGCTGCTCACTTTCCACTCCATCTACAACTTGTATGAGACCGTGGCACCACCAAAAGGAGCTTCTCTTTGAAGATTCCTAAATAAAAACTCAGCTTCCCTCGAAGAAATGAAAAGAGAAAAAGAAAAAGGCAAGCAGATCATTGTTTGAATAGCTAAGCTAGTTGAGGACTCGCTCTGATGGATCTCAAGAACCTTAATTTTTGTAAGATCAAGGTTCTTGAGATAATATGCTTTGCTGTAAGATCATGCAAAAGCCTGGGATTCATATGCACAGTATTGTAAAAGGTGAATTCAATGCATTCAATGCCGAAGGCATCACTTCCTCTCCTTTTTTCCTTTGCTGTTCTTTACGTGCATCGGCTGCACTTATCGGTCGGGTTGATCGCCGGTGGCCGTGCCGTCACGGCATGGCGTCAAACATGGGATCATGCGAAGGCACGTGCCATGCAGATGACCTAAAATATAAATATAATAAAGTTATTTCCATGTTTTCTTATTTTTTTTTCATTTATTCATTCATCCAAAGTCGAGATAAACAAATTATCGTGCTTTTGATGTGATGGTGGTCAGATGCATCTATAGGAGTATTCAACAGTCTAATAAAATGCTTAGCCTCACGTCGAAAGGCACAAGAAAAAGCTCATGCCACAATCCCAATGTTAAGTTGAATCACCAAAGAAAAAATACTAAGAAAGAAGAAGGGATACCGCTATTCTTATCACCAAGAAGTCAAAGAGTGGTGGCACCTTTTAGCCACTCAAAAGGAGGGAGAGAGCCACAACAAGTGAAGTGATGCTTTGCAAGTGGTGGTCCTCATCCCTCTCACTAATCAAGAAACTCCTCAAAATCACACCATTATTCTTCCTAAGAATGAAAAAAAAAATTTCTCATCATGATTTTAAGATTAATGAATTCATGTTCGTTAATTGATTAAAAAATTATTATAGATTCGAAGTCTCGAAAAATCTTTGATTGGGGTTTGTGACATATAAATATTTTTATAATTAAATTAATTAATTCCGATCAAGATTGATAAGATCTATTTATGGTAAAATTTTCTTATTGGTGCCGCGCTTACGAGTCACCAGCCACACCAAGAATTTGCCAAAAATAGTATTACATGGATACCCACAGGCAACGGTGCAGTTTTGGAGTTGGACGTACACATCGGGGGTGTTTAGGAAAAGGGAGGGCGTGGTGGGGCCAACAAACGGGGGGTTCGACGGCGGCCGGAGAGGAAAGCGACGGAATCGGGAACTCCGTGAGCCGTAGTCACGTGGGGAGGCAGCAAAAGGCGAACACGACGGGGCAGGCGCGTTCTGCCGCGCCTGACGCCGTCTAACGGCATCCTATTCGCCCGTCAACGGCCTCCCCGTGTGGTTCCCGGAATATTTATATTATTGGGATGCTTCTGGGAGCTCGTGCCACTCACGTGTGCGTAAAGGTTGTTAAAACAGGTTGGCCAACTCTTCTTCGCCGTAAAATTACGGTAGTGCCCCCGTCGTTGACTGGTCAAAATTACCGAACAATCCTGGAATCAGTGCGTCCATCAATTTGACTGCATCTGTCACGAATCCACATGATCTATCCCAACCAAATTCATCAATTAAGCATCGAGGATGGGAGTATATGGAGAATATTTTGGTTAATTTACGAAAATATAACTCCAAGGGCAGTTTGGTCACTTTGATGTTATAAATAACTTGGACTTCGGAGGCCAGGCAGCGATTGCTCGCGTTTTCACCACTCCAAATCGGCGCCTCTCGCTCTCTTTCTTGTGTCGTCCTCGTCGTCGTCGTGGTAATTATAGCCGAAAGCCACACTGCCTTGCTTTCGGTGTCGGAGAGGAGATGGATCGATGGAAGCAAGCTGTCTCGCGATGGTCATCATGAGTAATTTAAGGGCGTCAGGGAGGGAGGCGAGCCGTGAAAGGAACGATTTTTATCGGTTCGTCCCCAAGATTCCCGATCGGAACAGCCTCTTTAATTTGCCTCGTTGTAGCTGATAACATAGTTTGGTTGATTTGGCTTTGGATGTGGGTGGTTTCTTGGGAAGCTGGTTCTTGGAGCTGCGCTCACGGCGAAGAGGCGGAAGCTGTAGGTTCAGATCTTTTGTGGGAAAAGAAGCTTCTTTTGATTTGAAGTGGTAAGCAAGGAGAGGGCGGTTTGGGAGAAGAGAAGAGGGAGGAGGAGACGTGATGTACGGGTCTCCTTCGGGACGGCCGTCGGAAGATCTCAACCTTCCTTACCCTCCCGCCGGTCCGTTCAGTGGACAACGAACAGCGGAAGCCGAATCCGATCTCCTCCGCCGCCAGCATCAGCATCAGCAGCAGCAGATGAGCTCCGGCCTCCTCCGGTATCGGTCAGCCCCGAGCTCGCTGCTCGGCGAAGTCTGCGAGGACTTCCTTTCCGTTAGAGCCTCCAGCCCCGAGACCGAGACCATGCTCGCCCGGTTCTTGGCGCCGGATCTCCGCGACGAGACCCAGGACGGTCCTTCCGGTGGCGCCGCCACCGCTAGCGGCCAGAGCAGCCCTCACTTTCCACCCCCGCAGCTGCCGCCTTCTGCACAGGAGGTCAAAGAACAGCAGAGCAGAGGATTTACCTCTGCCCCGCAGATGATATTCCGTCCTCAGCAGCAGCAGCGGCAGATGCCGAACCATAGCTCATCGGAGAGCCCGTTCCGGGCCGTCATGGGATCATTGACGATGGAGGCGGCACAACTCAAGCACGGAGACTTCGGCAGCTCCTCTAATCTCATCAGGCACAGTAGCTCTCCTGCTGGCCTGTTTTCTCACTTGAACGTGGACGAAGGTACAAACTCTTCTCCTCTTCCTGAAACTGTACGACTTCACTCTTGGCGTAGTTATTGGCAATAGTTTTGAGGTCAGGAAGATCTTAGAAAGATCCAGTAACCTAACTGTTCATAGGGCCTACACTACAAGTCCTGAAGAAGAAGAAGAAGAAGAAGAACCAGATTCAGATTGACCCATGAGATTTTTATCCGTTTATAGAACTGTTGTCCATATTTGATGATTATAACTTCAAGATTTAGGACACACAAGAATTTCTCGCTCATTATTTGCTGTTTGTCAAAAACATGTGGAAACTTTCCTTTCCTGGTGTGAGGACAGGAATGCGAAGTCCATTTTATCTGATTGCAGAGGACCTTAAAATTTGTGCTATAGGTTATGGTATGAGGAGAGGGACGAGTGGCTTCATGATGGATGCAACAGATAGATCAAAGGGTCAGATAAGCTTCTCGTCGAGGCAAAACTCCGTGATGTCGCAGATCTCCGAGATGGAAAGCGACGACATGGATGGGAGTAGCAGCCCCAAAGACGGCGGAGGCGGCGGCCGGAGTTACATACCGGGATTCCCGGTTGGCTCTTGGGACGATTCCTCTCCCTTCAACAACAACAGCTTGTCAGGTCTAAAGGGAAGCAGAGACGGCGAGGAGAAGATGGTCACAGGTCTCAGTCCGCTGGAGCTGCCACAGGTACTTACAGCTCCTCTCCATCTGCTCCATTCCATCCACAAGCTCCGCTGACTAGTCTTCCTGCTTTTACTTGGGAACAGAATGGAGAGGTGAGGAACCATGGGTTGGGTCTGTTTAGCTTGCCGAGGTCTACGTCGGAGATAGCCACGATAGAAAAGTTCCTACAGTTCCATGACGCAGTCCCCTGCAAGATCAGAGCTAAACGAGGCTGCGCCACTCACCCGCGAAGCATAGCCGAGAGGGTAACTCTTCTCTTGATCGCGTCTCTAATCCGTGATCTGGCGGACACAGGCTTAACCAATCATCATGCTTTTGGGCAGGTAAGGAGGACTAGAATTAGCGAGAGGATGAAGAAGCTCCAGGAGCTTGTTCCTAACATGGATAAGGTGATCAACATTAACACAAACTAAGATTTATAGGTAGTCACAACGAGTGTCTAACTTGCTGTGGACAATCGACAGCAAACCAACACAGCAGACATGCTAGATTTGGCGGTGGATTATATCAAGGATCTCCAGAAACAGGTGAAGGTATAAATTCTACCGCCGAACTATTTTGATTGTGTGCAGATTCACATTAGAGCTGCTTGGTTTATTCATGTACGGACTTTATATTTGAAGGCACTATCGGAAAGCCGGGCGAGCTGCAGCTGTTCAGCTGGCAGGCAGAAGCCCTACTGACACAAGTGGAAGAGGAGATCTCAGAGCCAGAAAGAAGCAGATAAGGATGTAAAGAAGAAAGAAATGTATAGCTATGTGATCACAGACTAATAAGCTATATACTTAACATTGTTTCCTAAATGTTTATGCTTGTTTTAATCTCTTGTCCACACACAATGAAAGCATATATATTTGCTCGGCTGACGCCATGAAAGGGCACTAAGATCAGAGGAGCATATCTCAGACAGCTGAAATGGGTGGGGCATCGATGTTTTCCTGCTACAATTAGCTAAGCTAGTCTTGAATCGGAGTCAAATCACACCCAGTTTGGATGATGTACTCGCGTCATGTCATGTCTTGGCTTTGCCTAATTCAATGCTCCCAACCAACCCTTAAAAAGAAATGGCGGCAGGCGGGGGGGCCAAGCAGAGGTGGTTGTGGGATCCTTTCTCTGTCTTGTGGTTTTGATTGTTATGGCCATCAACTTCCCACCAAGTAAAAGAATAGATAAACAACAAAATAGCAAGAAACAAATAGCTGTATCATTCTTCCCACGAAAAGTTGACTTCTTGTAATTAATTTAGATCATGACATTTCCAAGAATATGAATGAATTTTGTTACCATATGCATGTGAGCTGTAATGGAAACAGAAATCATGTCAAGTCAGCTTTATGTATTGGAAGGATCCGGTGGTCTAAAACATCCGCAGCTGTAGACAATAGGGCGATGATGGGAGAGGATAAGATTTCAATCCAGCAGAAGGTGATGGGAAGAAGACGAGGAAGTAGGAAGCGCCGAGAAAGCAACATGAGAACAAAAAGCGATGGAATATGGACGCAGAAAGATGGATGGATGGAGAGAGCTTTGATTTCACATCCACAAAGGTAATCATCAAGCTGAGATCAAAGGGCACAAGGAAAGGAAATGGATTGCGTTCTGCAGGTTCACTGGTACTATCATAGATCTAGATTTGGAGGCCAGGTAGAAATTGATGCGGTCGAGATGGTGGGCACCCTGATTCAGTAGTACTGTGGCAGATTGCAAAATCTAGAGAGAGAAAGAGAGTTACCGCAGCTCAGATCCCCATTGGATTTAGTGCTCGGTGGTCCCATGGAGGACCACCCCACGAGCATAACCCATGTGAGACAGTAAATGATCCATTTACCGTTCCCTCGGTAGATGAATTGTTCTTGACGACATTACTGGGATCCAAAGCAGCGCCCATGTACGATGCACCTTGATCCTTGCTTACCAAACTGGGAAAACCCAGCAGAAATATGATTGATGATACTCCAAAAAACTATGTTTAATGCTAGTATGTAACATGTAGAGCAATAGAATTATGAGTTGCCAGCTGATACCTGATGTTGGAAGCCAAAATGAGCACTTGGGCCACATCCATCAATGTCTGCAACAAGTAAAAGACGATTGATGAGTATTGAGCAACAAAAACACCTCTTAAAAGTTTACAGCCAAAGACCTGTACAGGTTGATCCAACAAGAGAGAGCATAGCGGCCAGCAGAATCAAATGTCCTCCTCACAGATGCATTGCACCTTAAACAATAATGGATTCGCCCCACTGGATTAAATCCGAAGCAGCAGAAACTGGAGAATGACCACCACCTCTCACCCAGATGCAATACATTAAACTTAGCAGTGGATTTTTATGGGTAGGTGCTTGCCATTGGACCAAGGGAAGCCACAAATGTTGGCTGATTTGTGACATGAACCTGTCAACCTGAGCTACTGAACCTGTGATTTCGTATCTGAAGTCAATTTACACAGTGATTTCCCCGATTCGCAGGCCTCACACCAACATAAACAATAGCAAAGCATGATTGATTGTATATAATGCAGAGAGGCATTACCAGGTCGGATCCACCTAAGTCCTAGCTCTTTTAGTTGAATCTGATAGGTTTGCAGATCACAGATCCAAATTGAGGATCCACACACCATACGTTGGTTCGGCACATTATCAGGTAAAAAATAAGATCTGATAAAATAATTGGATCCGAAAATGAAGATGGTACCTGAAAATTTCAGGCTGAATACACGCCCAGGTCAACTTCTCCGATGCATCAACACCCCTACAATTATCAAACATGTAAGAGTCACATAAATAATATGACAAAGAATCTCAATCACCTAGATGTCCTTTTCGGGAAAAAGGGAGATGATGCATGACAAACAGATATTGATGCTATGGTTTCTGGCATTAACTTTCAAAAGTAAGATACAAACCTTGATTAATTGGCATCAGGATCAAAATTAGGAACTTGGAATGGTGTTAGATTATTAAGTGGGAAAAAGAGAAAGTATAACAAATCGAAGTTCATCTTTACTGATAAAATCACAATTCAAAATGCTAGCTGAAGAATGTTCTCCGAGGTGGAAGAAAACTGGCAAGCAGAAAGCAGTGCTAGCAATATTTTTTGTGGGTAAGTGGTAGTACTTCTCTTCCATAACTATAATTCATGGGTGCTGGCCTGGGACCAGAACACTCAAACAGAATGCCAAATGTAAATGGTGAGCAGCCTTTACTTGATAGATTTCATAAAGCAAAATATATATCAAACCAAAACCTACATGCACATTATCTGAAGAGCTCCATGATTCCCAGTGGAAGTTTTTACCACGCATTGAAGAGCCTCTCCCGGTGCTCATTGTCAACCCAATCACTCGTGGCATCCATGCCAGCATCAACTATTTCAGGTGCTCACTAACTGAATTTGTAAAGCAGTACCATCTCCATTGGCATCCAAAGGAAAGCATAAGATCCAGCAACTTTGCTGAGTCACGGATTTGAAGGACAATCGGCAGTCTGCATAAACTTTGATTCTGAGATGGAATCAGATATAATTGGCATGTATATCTTTTTCAAAATTGCAGGGAAAGATTTGCACACCCTACATACACCACGAATGGTAAATAAGCAGCATGCTGAAATGTTCAAAAAATATATATAGTGTCCACCTCTAAATTCGTAAGGAGAATTCCTGTCCAATGGATTTAGTAAAGAGACATGAGAAGTTAAAAAGATTACATTATTTGTTCTGTAAATACACCATAAATTAATTAATTCATTCTGATGCATCTTTCTAAGTGCAAATCAGGACATGGTTACGAAAATTAGGAAATTGAACAATAACATATGGAAGGGTTAGAGTGGCACCAAGTGAACTACAGGATAAGATTCATCACAAAACCCTAGCAATGGATCAAAAAAACTGGTGATTAAATAAAATATATCCACCTTAGAAATGCAAGGAACTTTGTTATAGTGCACAAAAACAAAAATGGTTTCACAATTAGGCTCCGGTAAGTTGTAAAATATACCATTGACCTTTTCTTAGAAGCTACTAATAAAGATATCATACAAGCATTAGGAAGTTCAGAATGCAAAGTTCAAGCTGGATCAGATACTAGGCCCAAAGAGATTAGCTATCTGTGTTCAGATACAGCTCAAACCTGCAATACATGATGCAGATCTCTGCAATTCAGGCAAGAAGTATTTTAGTTAAGGACTTCTTCAGCATGCCAAAGAAGAGTCAATTTAAGATCCTAAAGCAACCCAACACTGGGATCCAGAACCTAGCCATATTATGCGTGAGAGCAAATTTACCATGCTCAACTTCAAGACCACTAGTAGAACAAACAATGAGCAACCAGATGAAACTCCCCCTATTAGGTTTATGTGCATCCATCCTCTCATCATGATTGGCATTAATGTTCAGCTCCACAAAAATAACAAAAAGAGGAAATTTCTCAAGGATTCTCTTCCAATATAGTGTCATAAGCCACAAGACTGAAGCCTAAACTAACCCTTTTACCTACAACTTAGGAGACACAAGTTACAGATTGGTACAACTTAGGGGACGCTTCTAATATTGTACGCCATCTAACTTCCTCTTGCCATTTGCTTGAACAAATTGATATATCAATTGACCATGTGAAAATTCAATTACTAGCATTCCACTTGAATCAGATTTTTTCGTTGAACACTGTCATCTCTTGACTAGATTCGTGGCTTCTGTACTGCCTATTAGACAGCCTTTCCATTATTTATATGCATGCAACCGTACGATTGCCCCATAATGTCATCCTAATATATCATATGAAAAATCAGCAATAAGTTCATCTGCAGCCCAAATTCTGCACCTCAATTGGGGGTTGGGATCTCCTGACATTCAAATTACATCTTTGAACTATCTCTCATTTTCATCTGTTTTTCCAACAGACACCGCGGTTTGAATCATATCCGCGAATGCTCGCACACAAATGATTACAAACGATCACTCAAAAGTGACATCAACACTTCAACGGGATCGAATTGAATGATAGAATGTTTCACTATCAATAACATACAAAAAAAGACACGTTCAATGATCATCAAGCAACTGATCGACAAAGCAATATGGTGCCAAAACAACAACCACAACAGCAACAATGAAATTATGACCTCGTGGCGCCCCTCGCAGCCCTATCGCGATGCGGCCGACCTCGTCACGGCGGCGAAGGACCTTGCTCTGCGGCCGGCGTGACGGGCTTCGTCAGTGGAGATTGGATAGGTCGCATGGGAGACAATTGAGGAAGCCTAATATATACTTAACAGCCCTAATTAGAGACCGTTCCATTGTGAATAGGATTTCATCTAATATATTATATTAATTAGTATATTATTACATAAATGACAGGTTCCAATGCTTTGTGTTGATTCATTTTGATATATATTTTATATTAGTAGTTATTCCAAAATAATAATAAAATATTAATTATTTTTAATTTTTAAATATAATTTGATTGTTTGAGATGTTAATGATTCAGAGTTAATCTTAGATTGTACTTTGACTTCATTTAATTAAATAAAAATATATTATTCCCATTGTACTTTGACTTCATTTAATTATATAAAATATATTATTTTGAATAATTTTTTATAAATATAAAAAAAATTGAATGATATTTTTATTAAAAAAATCGGATGAGATTTTAAACCTCAAATTCTTTTTAAGTGAATCTAGTACTTCATCATTTTTGACTCAGAAATAGATTTTGAATCTTCAATATTTAGTAAGTAGGTATGGTATACCACCCCCAAATATATCAAATCCAAATTAACTTTATACCTCAAAATAAGATATTGAAGAAAAAAGATAATATAAAATTTTATATTTTTATATAAAAATATATAAATATTTCTTAAAGATGATATTGTTGGTGAACAAATAATAGCATCAGCAAAATGTTTTTAGAATATTAATTTGAGGGATTAATAAACACAGGCCAAGAAATTTAGATTTTCTGATAAATAACAAAAGCTGAAATATCCAAAGCTTCATGCATGTAGGGGTGCACAACTTGATTAAGTTGAACCTGCGGCACATCCGCCAAACGCCCCTTCGAAATGTCGTCACCGCTCGCTCTCCTCCTATTTTGAAAATTCAAAACTAGGCGGCACTGGAAGCGGCGGTGACCGGCGGTTCCGAGTCCCGTCACCACTGCCCCCGTCCCCTAAAACGCTACTTAAGTCGATCCCCCCTCTCTCTTTCAATCTCGCTCCCCGGCCGCCGATTCCCTCTCCCGTCTCCCTCACGCTCTCTCCGAAGTCGAAGGCGACGACAAAAAAGAGGAGAGACGAGGATGAATCAGGGCTTGGGAACCATGGTGGACGCGGGGGAAGGGTTCTGGATCCGGACGGTAGCTTTCCCAGACGCGGTGGTGCGATCAAGATCAAGGCGTGAGCAGAGCTTGGTGTTCACCACCGACGACAAGGAGAACATCCCCCCGTCACTGGTGGTGACAGCTCGACGCCGTGTCGGGAGAAGGAAGAGTCCTCTACCGAGTTGGTACCCTAGGACACCTCTCCGTGACGTTACGGTGGTCGTCAATGTAAGGAGATCTTGCCCTAAACACTTGAATGCCATGTTATACATGCCCTAAACTTTGTTCTGTACTTAGGCCTTGGAGAGGAGAAGGATGCGTGCGACTGCAGCGAGGGTCAAGCGGAGGAACAGAAACCGTGAAATGAAAGAGCCGGATCAGACATCACTCGGTGAAGCCCTCTCATCCGATGTTTCTGATGCCTGGTATGTTTCTCCAATCGGACATTCGCTCCAAAGCCCTTCCTCCGGCCTGGTTTCCGTCTCAACCGATCCATCGACAGAAGACATGAGACCTACTGAATTCGAGGAGAGGCTGCAAAGCACCATTGCAGAGATGGAAAGGCTCGTGCTGAGGAACCTGAAGAGGTCGCCGGAACCGCATGCGAAGATGAAGAAGCCCACACGCACTCTCCTGTCGATGCGGTGAGTGAAACATTTCGTTTCACCACGATGCGATGGGTAAAGCCAGCAACTCTGCTGCCCATGGAGATCCACATGGTCTGGGACACTGCTGCTGGTTCATCTCTTTGTTGATCTCCTCGTGAGGAACGCTCTTCGATCATGCTTCCCGCTACAACTACGACAAACTTATCTCGTTCTTGGCGTGGCGTCCGATCCGGACGCCGGCCATCGTGGAATCAATCTCGCATATGGGGTCAAAGGTCATTTGATTTAATTTGTTCGGCTTGGATCATTACCATCCAAAGCTCTTCTTAGTGTCTTCGTTTTGGTGTTTTTGGAAGATATTGTATGGGGTAAAAAGGAGCCAAATCAATTCAATCCGTGAGATCGTGCACACGATTGAGGTTTGCGTTTCTGCAAATTAACCTTTACCTTCATCTTCCCCTATTAAATGTCGACTACCTTTTGCAGAAGTGCCGTGATGTAGCTGTGCAGCGGCCAATGGTTGCATCGCTTGTGACCTCTCGGCTTCACTCTTTTACCGATGCCAAATCGGTAAATTGCTCGAAGCCTTGAAGCAAGATGATGATTTTTCCTTGTCCTGCAGTTCATTGCTGTCTCTTCAAGAAGTAACAACTGCGGTTCCAATTAAGCTTGCGTCCAGCTTCATGCGAGAATGGAGCAAGTCTTCAGCTCCCATGCCTTCATTCTCCTCCTCCTCGTTACTGTCTTCGTTGCCTCCAAAATCTTCCACGACATCATCTCCAAGGCCATCAATGGCCACCTCCACCCCCTCGGCCCAACCACCAACCAAGCACTCCAAGCTCAACCAGCGGTCGACCCCTGCTGCTCCTCTACCTGGGCTCCACCCCCTGCGTCGTGGTATCTACCGTCGACCATGCCCGAGAGTTGTTCAAGGCCAACGACATTGCCTGTGCCGTACTGCCACAGTCGTTCGCCTACCGCGCCGTCGGAGCTCCTTGGTGATCGTGCCCTAGAGCAGCTTCGCCCCGTCTTATCCGTCGGGCCGAGCTCTTGACCCTCCTACGATCATGTGTGTTAATTTATTAAATATAATGATAAGATTTATATAGAGGTTTTGATATCCGGACATAATTATAATCTCTAACTAAAAAATATATATATTAACATAATATATTTTAAATTTATACTATATCATAATCTATATCTACACTAACATGAGTTTATACCATCACTTAGTTGGACTACTAATATCTTTACCTATAAATAAAATATGATATATATTAAGTAATTACTCGATAATTATACATCTTTATATCTTTATATAAGTGAGCATGTATTATATTATGTATATAATATTATAAAATTATTGATATAAGACATTTAATGGTAAATATCTCAACCTATGATTTATTTAACAAGCATAACTCTACAACATAGTATATACATAACTCTACGATGTTCGAATCAAGATCCGCTATGATGGACTGATACCGATACTCTCACTGTGGCAGTTGAATCAATATTGCTACGATGGATTAATACTAATACTCCTACCCACAGTAGTTGAATTAAGGCCATGGAAGCTACTACGACAGACTAATACTGAACCTCCCATTCACGTGATGGAGACTCAACCTCCCGTGCGAAAGTGGGAGTTAGAAACGAAGAAGAAAACCTCCCGAAGTATAAGGGGGAGAACGAAGATGGAGAAAGAGGAAAAGAAAAGGAGGAAAAGAGAGAGATGTCCCTTAAGTCAACACCCGTCTAAGCAAAGAACAGCCTAGCAAAGCATAACCCACCATAAATGAGCCTTGTACTAATCACCACGGTGCCAACAATGAACCTGAAGCTAACCAATGATCACTTCACTATGCAAGAATGTAGAAAAAGTTACGTCCTTCAAGACCTTAATTCAAAGCTCCGAAGAATGCCTTTCTAGGGGGACGAATAATAGGAATAATCTTGACACTCCTCAGCTCCCCTCGCCACATAAGCAATACCTAAGCAAAAAGCTCGAGAACTACCTACTCCCTATAGCCACCAGCAAGAGGTCATGTCACCTACCCCACCTTCCAAGAATGGACCCACACGAGCCACTCCTGACTGATACATCAGTAGAAGTCATGCCTCCACATTAATGACTAACAATATGGTCCGAATTTACTAGCCTTATATTGCCAATAGTCGATGATGGAATCACTCCCTGCTTAACCCAAAACAACAAGAAAGTCAGCCTAGAAGTGTCCCCCAACAAACCACCCCAAGCACCAGAGGACACATGCCAGCAAGCTGCTCTCATTAATGCCTTCACCATACAGGGTAAGGGAGCCTTGGCGAGTGCACGTTCAGACCGCTTAATACCCAAGTATAAAAGTCAAGTCCCAAACCATGTTGGACAAACGAGCAAGAACTCTTCACTTTCTCACTTACATTGTTAACCTCTTTTTCTGTATCTCTGACTTAAGTATCGGAGGGGTTAAGACATAATATTCCGACATAGATTTGTTGTGTACGATTCCTAACACTATTTGGAGACACAATCAAGAGGCGACTCAATAGTAAGAATGACCCAACTCTAACACAACTCCGCCATACGAAGGGCTCCCCAAGGCCAGATCGCTCACGACGAACCACCTTCCCCAACAGGTTCTCTATTTCGGTTCATCACGTCAGCTCTCCGTATCATACGCGAAGGTGGTGTTCTTTTTGGGCCGGTGGCCAGCGGAACACGTGGCAGAGATGCGGACGCCCTCCTCGCGTGCGGCACGCGCGCCACCTTAGCGAATGGCAGCTGTAGCAGGTGGGTGACGAGACAATGGGACCCGAAAGGGGCCCCTCCTCTCCCCATCGGGAATCTTTAGGGCGTCTTATGTTCACTTCAAAGACTGTCATTACGCATAGCATCATATGCAAGTAGAAGAATCATAGACATGTATAAGCAGCATTCAACATCCTAACATTACAAGACAGATATTTGAATGAATAGGTTGCCTGCATCAAGCAAATTCTCATTTTTGATGCATCCCAAATATACCAAAGTGATGCAGCTATTTGCAACCATAACAAGATTCATTGAAAATAAACATGGATCAAAATGCTAAAGCATTCCAAGTTTCCACCACAATTATGCCAAAGCAATCATACCATATTATCTATCAGATATATTTTGTAGCTTCATCACCAAAATATAAATATAAGTAGCAAACCTTCAGCGCCATCCTTAGATTGCCATGTTCTTGGATCTTGTTCTCAGAAACATTCCATGACAGAAGCTTCTACCACGAGTATGTCAAAGCAATCAGATCATATTAGCTATCAGACATTTGTTTTCTGCAGCTTCATCACCAACTTACAAAGATAAGAAGCAAACCTTCAGCGCCTTCCTCAGTTTGCCATGTTCATGGAGATGAGGCTGCATTGGCTATTCAGTCCTGCCCTCAAACAACTTCCCGTTACTCCTTTGTTCCCTCTTCCACGCCACCGGTGAAAATACCGGAGCAAGCTTCCAGCCGCCGATGTCTGCCCGGAGCCCCTCAACGGAGCTACTAAGCAGGGCGCTCTGAGCCTGCAGCGCTTCCACCTCGCGCCTCACTGACGCACACGAATCTGTCGCGTCAGCGCTTCCAGCAGGCCTCTTCTCCTTCGCCTTTCTGTCGTATGGCAACCGTTCGATGGAGATTTTACTCATCACGAGGCACGGCAGCTCGGTCAGACAGATCCCGGCCGCTGGATCATCAAATGCCGTGCGGAGCTCCGGCGGAACTCTCAGCCCCCACTTGAACTCGACGGCCGTGCGGTTGCGAAGCGGTAGGACGCTCCTGGCGCTGACCTCGAACCCGGAGAGGAGCCCATCGATCCCCCCTCCGCTGCCCGCGGTGAAGGCGGAGACGTCGACGGGGAAGTTACCGAACCTTCTCCCTAGGTGGATCGCGTTATCCGGGCGGAACTCCACGATCGGCGGCCCGATCCCGTGACCGTCGCTAACTTGCGCGACCTTGACAGCCACGGCATGGGGGGTGCCCGATACGACAGCGGAGACGGACTTCCGGAAAGAGAAATCTCCGAGCCGGGGCTTGAGGAGGAGGGAGAAGGTGGGGCAGGAACCACCGAGGAGGCCCAACTCGACGGCCATGGAGAGTGGGGAACCGGAGGATGGGGAGCCGAGGTCGCCGACGCCGGTCTTGATGACAAGGGAGAAGGGGTTGAGGGCGTCGTTAGGGCGGTAGGAGAGGCGGAGGGAGGGGCCGGCGCGGAAGCCAGTGGCGAGGTCAAGGCGGAGCTCGCGGGCGGCGGCGGTGACGCCGGAGATGAAGGGTAGGCCGAGGACGCCGACGGGGACCTTGGCGCGCACCAAGGGCGGCCGATCCTCCCGGAGCTTGATGGAAGCCTTCATCGGTGGACGGAACGGTCACTGGATCAATCAGTCGCCTATCGGCCTCGATCAAATATGTCGGGATCCTCCCGTTTTCTCTTTCCTCCCAATTCGAATGATCGAAATCATAGAACGAAAAAACGTTAACCAATTAACAAACCATAAACACTCACGCTACATAAAATAGGCATGTCAAAAATCATAAATAAATATACAAATTTTATGAAGTTCTAAGGAATAAAGATGATTTTTTTATAAAAAAATTAAAATATTTTTAAAAATTTTATTATATCAAATAAGAAGAATCGAAACTAATGTCTCAACAAAAATCTCTCAAACTATCGAATAATTTCAATTCAAATCAAAGAGAAAAATATTATATTTATTGAAGTATTTAATCAAAAGATTAGGATTAATTATATATTATCTTTCTAATTAGTTATTTTTAATATTTTAATTTATATATTTTTAAAAATTATCTTGAGATTTTTATACTTATGAAAGTAAAATATTTAATTTTATTTTTTCTTACGTCGTCGATTTTACTAACAAAAATATACGAAGATATCATAGGATTTACTACTGAGTACGTATTGACTTTGTTCGATTTACCACTTAATACGTACGATATTTTCATCGATACTATTGATGTTATGAGAAGAAATAAAATTAAATATTTTACTTTTATAAGTATAAAAATTCTTACGTAACTTGGAAGACGAGAAGACCTTCCTCATCGTCAATCAAGCAAGAGAAGCTCCTTCACATCATCTCTCAGGATGCCAACCTTGGATGCAACATCCTCATCTGGATTCACACCCTCTTGGACCTTCGGTACCCTCGTCATTCCTTCCACCAACCAAAAGCACTTCATCAACTTCTTTGCATCTTTCAGGCAATTGCTGCATGGGATGCGGGTTCTCTCAATAAGATGATTAACGAGAGACTCACTGTAGTATTGAAGTGCTTTGCTCTCCCGAAGCATCAGCAGTGATAAAAGGAAGGTTTTATCTCTGTTTGCATGGTTGATGAAGGTTCCACTTTCGCTTTCTCGGCTGCTTCCCATAGCCTTTGCAGAGCCAGTTTGTCTTCGCCACCAAGGAATGTGTCGCCATTGGTGGACTTGACCTGAAAGATCACATTATGATGATGAAAAAGACGAGGAATATGAGTAAGAGGAGCATTTCAAGAACAAACCTCGAACACTCCATTAGAGATTTCCAGGACGGAGACATCAAAAGTACCACCACCCGTGTTGTTCGTTCCATATGAAAGGGCAGCAGCAGAGCAGTGGGCTCATTGGTAATCCTCGGACTTCAAGCCCAGCAATTCTGCCTGCATCCTTTGTTGCCTGGCGGTGCGCATTATTAAAGTAGGCAGGGATAAGCATCGGTTGTTTCCTTCATCTTTGCGAGGACAAAAGCACCATTGTGGCTTGATGAGTATTGCTGACCATTCATTTCAACCCAGGCATGTTCATTGGGTGCCCTTGGCACCATTTTCAACTCCTATCGGTGTAAAATAGGTATTAATTAAATATAATTATTTTTTATAAATATAAAAATATATGAATTATAATAAAAATATCTTATATATATATATATATGATGACGTGTGATGTATGAATATATATATTTTCTATGACATATAGTGTGAGAGCACACATATATGTTACGACGTGCAACGCACGTATATGCTATCACGTGTAATATGAGAGTGTACGTATATATTATGATATGCGATGTTGGAATACACGTATATATTACGATGATGTACGACATAGGAGTGCATATATTTGTTATGATACGAGGAATAGAAATCCATAGATTTGCTACGTTTTCTATATATGCAAATATATCTTTTGAATTATTTTGACATAGAATTTTACATATACTATGTTGTATGGTTACACTTGCCAAAGAAGTCATAGGATAAGATGTTTACCGTAATATATTTTTGTTGATGATTTTAAAATATTATATATGTTCACCTAAATAAAACTACAGAGATTTATATTTATTGAGTGATTATTCACTCTAGATCATATTTTATAAGTAAATATGATCTCATGCTAGTGTATATACGAATGATAACTTGTGAGCATTGCGTGTTTTTCTTAGAATTTTGAATTTCGCATTTGCAGACGCACAAATTAGGGATTGGCAGAGGAAATCATGCATCATGTGATGGTGGCGTTGACTAAGCGCACTCCATTCATCGGTGGGTAGATTCCACCGGCGAGAGTAGAAGTAATGTTGTGTCTGTGATGTGACTCCTTACATCTAAAAGCTCGTCCCCAACACCCAACTTATGGAACCATTGCTTTGACCGCACCCATGTTGGCCACTATCCAAATCATTGCAACCATGGCTCCTCTACGTACTTCAGCTGTTCACTGCTCTTACTTCGTCACTTACCCTTACTAATGGTGTACATCACATTAACATTTCTCCGTCTAAACACAACAAAATATCAATCTCGAATTGATATTTATTTAAAATAAAAAACAAAAATAAAATTCAATTAAATTATGAATGGACTGCACGCGTCGGATTCCGTCCATCTCTTTCCAGCTTGGCATACGCAACTTGTGTACGTACCTGCAATTAGTACACCCATCAGGTAAAAATAATTGTACCCAAACCTAATTTGGCCAGCCAGATTTGAAGATTCCCCAGTGATGACCGATGACCGCGGGCCCCACCACGTACAACCCCGCCCACTTAGGGTGGACATAATTCATCTCGCGATGCATCGTGGCTTTCGTGTCATCCATTGTCACGTACCCACCTCACGGTTTACCTCCCACGTGGATGTAGCTGAGATTTCCACACACACACACCCATCGTGGGGAAACATGTCCGTGCAATAATTATCTTTTGTGGTACGAACCGGCGTTAATGAAAAGCGTGACGAGGCAACACAATAAATGTGGGGGGGGGGGGGAGAGAGAAGAGGTAAATAAACCGGGTCGGCATCGGGGCCCACTTTTCACCCGTGGTGGCTGAGGAGGGGCGGAAGGGGTCTCCCCCGTCATTTCGCCCACGCCCTTATCGTACCACCCCGACCGACCACGGGAGGGAGCACCCGAGGCGTGACCAGCCGCCCCCGGTTTGCCTCCGCTCGTGACGGGTCTTCGCGGGGCCCACCAAACGGTGAGGCAGTGTGGAGCGGATGGGTACGGCGCGTGATGGTGACGTTATTACTATCTATTTCAAGGGGATGGGCATGTGATTCGACGTTGACCGCGACCGGGCACGGGCGACGGTACGACGCGATCGAAAAGGACGGCTGTGATCCGATCGTCCGTTTTGTTTTCGGTGCGGGCCGGCAGTGCCGTACGTCGCCGTTCCCCGAGCCAACCCCCTCGCAATAATTGCGGTGAAGTACCGCATTTATTTATACGTCCATCGTAAAATTACGAAAATGCCGGCTCCGGAGTACCCGATCTCTTTCAGAAGACACGACACGATGGTTGGGGGGCGTCCGTGGTATCACTCTCTCATCCCTCTCTCATCCCTTACCGACTTGGAGTCTACGTGACATGAATCGTGTCCTAAAACTGCGAAGAAAGTCGTGGATGGTAGGAAGACTCTCCCATGTGAGATGTGGGTGAAGGCAACACTGACTTGATAGAGCAGAGGAAGGTTCCTCTTCTCTACCTTCCTCAGACCATTGGTCATGTGGAATATGACCATAACTATTAAGAAAATATCTCATCTCATTGATCAATTCTTTAATTATTTTTAATATAATATAATCATTTTCTTATAAGCTAAAATAGAAACATAAAAGAGAAACTAGATTAAATTATTTCAGATATTATCATATGATATTGATAGGGCATATCTTAGAACCTATCCTCCGATCATTATTGTCAGTCACATCAGTATCAAGGATAACACGACGGATTGTACATTCGATCAACGCTAATTTCGTAAAGGTCGGGCAGCTAACCAAGTACAGTACCATCCCGCAAAGGTCGAGACGGTGCCAAACGAGTACCGCACCGTCCCGCGAGGGTCGGGATGGCGCCGACCGAGTACAACGCCATCCTACGTGGGCCGAGATGACACCGACCAAGTACAACGTCGATGATAATAAATATGATAGGTACGACTTATCCCCGAGAGAGAGAATACAAAAACCCCTCGTGGGGTCGACCAGAAGGGGGATTTGCCACTCAGTTTTAACAAGATCTTCGGAGGAGTCAAAGTCAGGAGCCTCTTTCCAACCCTGACCTATATGTGCAGGGACCGGAGATCAAGAAACAGATAATCAACCCAAGGGAGTTTTCGACTTTAAAGCCATAGGCCAAGCCCGACCTCGCTAGACTATGATCCTCGTCGACCGAAGATCGACGTGGATGATCCTACGTACCCGAGACTGAATCAAGCCGTGCCAGCTCATTCTGCCAAGGTATAAAGGATCACTATCAGATATATATTTGAATTAATTAAGAATTATTTAAATAAAAAAAATATTGGCATGCTGAGATCATCGGAATATAAACAAAGTTGGCATACGACACGGAAAAGAAAGTCTCATGAGAGTGACACAGAAACATATGCGTAATGTTACGTTCCATTCTTTCAACGTTGAGTCGGTGATAAGGGGTCGACGTTACGGATCGTTTACTGTGGGAAGACGTCGTTCAACTCATCTCATCCATTCGTAGAAGTATATGGAAGTCACATGCTTTCACATCAAACAATTGCATGTTTGCTTACCGCATAATTCCCGGGACGAAATTTAAAGCGTACGCATTCAGATGATTTGAATAATACATCAAATAACAAAAATTTATAGAGACAAAAAATTATATATATCATAATTTTTAAAATATTTAATAATACTAATAATAATAATAATAATGATAATGATAGTGATAATGATAGGATTAGTACAATAGTCGTACGCGCGGAGCAAAGGGAAGAGAGACGTACTGACGAGGCAAATGGGTAAAAGACGTACTCCCGCAGCGCCGCACCAAAATAATGGACACGCAAGGAACGGTGGTGGGCTTCTCTTTTCTCGCCACTGCGCACTTTTCTAAGGGCTTCAAGGAAAGGCCCTCGCCTCCGTGTCAATTTACCGACTCTGCCACGCCGTGTGGGTGGGTGCCGAACAAGATAGAAGCCAAAGAGGTGAGAAGCGACGAGATGAGACGAGAGAAGAGACGCCAGCCGAAAAAGAATAATAGAGTAGCGAAAGGAAATGAGACGCTGTGGGAAGAGATAGAGAGGAGGAAGAAGAGAGTTCCACGCCGAGTGACGAAGATCTTGCTGCCTTCTTACGTCGATCGGTTCTTCCCCTAGATCTCCTCCTCCCTCCGATCCGCTTCCCCGAGTGCTTTTCTTTTTGTTTTGTTTGTGGGAGGTTGCGCTGGTGGTTTTGGCGACGGAGGTGAGATCTGGAAATTATGGAGGAGAAGATCTAGTATTCGGTAAATTGGATTTTGACTTTTGTTTTCTGAATTCTTTTGTTTCCAGAACTTTTTTTTCTGGGGGGGGATGTTTTGTTGATGGATTTTGGGGGTTTCCTTGGAGGCCTTCAGGTTGGAATCTGATCGAGTGTTGGATCAGGGGAGGTGCCGCTGTCGCCTGAACAGAAGGTTGGTTCTCTTTCTCTGGTGGCGATCGAGGGGGGATTTAAGTTTGATTTGGTCGCTGAAGATGGAGGGAGAGGTGGGTGCGCAGGTCGCCCCGCCCATCTTTTTTCACCACCGTCAGGCCCTCCCTGGACCTTTTCATGAGACCCCGCTGCTCCTAAAGAAGCGGGATTTCCCGTGGAAGAATAACCCCAGCTTCCAGCACAACCAGCAGCAGGACAGCAGGCAGCGGCTGATGGGCGCTTCACTCCCGGACCCGAGCGGTAATTGGAACCCCAAGATGTGGGATTGGGACAGCGAGAGGTTCGTGGCGAAGCCCTCCTCCGCTGCGTCGGAGATCCTCTCCCTGGGTTCCCAGCCGGCTTCTGCGGCCGCTGCCGTGGCCGATAAAGGGGACGGGGGACCCAAAGATTCGGTTTTGGGCAGGAACTTGGAAGAGGATGACCAGAACCTAGCGCTGAAGCTAGGAGGCCGAGCGTACTCGGCGGATGAGCCGACGACGAGGCCTAGCAAGAGGGTGAGGTCCGGCTCGCCAGGGAGCGGCTGCAACTACCCGATGTGTCAAGTGGATGATTGCCGGGCGGATCTGTCGAGCGCCAAGGATTATCACAGGCGGCACAAGGTGTGCGAGATGCACAGTAAGACTGCCAAGGCACTTGTCGGTAAGCAGATGCAGAGATTCTGTCAGCAGTGCAGCAGGTAATCCAGATCCGTCCCAACATGTGTTCTTGCCAGTTATTGTTTGAGCTATACGTTTGTACGTTCAGGTCGGATGTTCTTTCTTTGATTTCTTGTTATAGATTTTCACCTGTTATAAACTTCCTACGGAATCCAATAAATCTAGAAAAGACCCTTGCAGATTGATGAAAGATCACTCTGTGATTCAACTGATCTTTCTTCTGGGCTTGTTATTACGACAGCTGATAATTTTCTTTAACAGGATTCATATGATTGTAAAAAAATTAAAATTTCCAGTTTGTTTGCTCTTTTATGTATTTGGCTTTTATAACATTTTCGTGATCTGCACTCTTTGGTTCGCACAGAGTTCTGGATCTGTCTTCCAAGCTGTTGAATTTACCATCTCCTGGCTTGTCAAATTTTGCATGCTTCTGATCCATGGCATTGTGTGATTCAGATTTCATCCGCTTTCAGAGTTTGATGAGGGGAAGAGAAGCTGTAGGAGGAGGCTCGCAGGGCATAATCGACGCAGAAGGAAGACACAACCAGAGGATGCTTCTTCTAGACTACTGCTTCCTAGAAACCAACAGAATATGACAAATGGGAGTTTGGATATAGTTAACTTGTTTGCGATGCTAGCACACTTGCAAGGTATGCCATGTTGCTTATAGGATTGGTAATCCTGATATGCTGTGAGTTTCTTGCTTAATTTTTTGGTACTATGATGACAGGTAACAATCAAGTTAAACCAACCAGCATCCATCCTCTGCCTGATAGAGATTGTCTTGTTCAACTTATTAGTAAGCTAAGTGCGTCAAATAATGCAAACCCTTCCGCAAGATCATCCGTACCTGAAGGTTTTGATTTGAATGTATCTCAAGTCCCAGCACAAGCTTCCTTTGGGCAGTCACCAAAGGCAAATGGGGATGAAAATTCACCTTCCAAAATGAACCTGTTGGCAGTTCTCTCTGCAGCTCTAGCTGCATCTACTCCTGACGCCGCCACATCTCTTTCACAAGGGAGCAGTGAAAGTAGTGGCAATGATAAGAACAAGCTACAAAATGTTGAACCCTCCAGTCACAGTAACTCAACTAATGTCTGTTCTTATGTTGGACGTCTGAGCAATAACTGCATCAGTCAATCTCGGGTAGATGTACCTCAGCAGACGGTTGAGCAAGCCCGGAAAAATTTACCTCTCCAGCTTTTTGGTCCTGCTGATAATGACAGTCCTCCAGAACTGGGATCCGCAACTAAATATCTGTCCTCAGAAAGTAGCAACCCTATGGAAGAGAGGTCTCCTTCATCTTCTCCCCCTGTTACAAAGAAGCTATTCCCTCTACACTCAACAATGGATATGGTGAAATACTCACAAGCATCAGAATGCCAGGAAGACAAAGCAACTGTTGATTTAAGCTCCAGTCACGGTGGGATTGCACCGCTTGTGCTCTTCAAGGAGTCAGAAACACGAGTTGTGAATGGGACAATTCAGAATCTACCATATCGAGTAGGCTACAAATCTTCTGGCTCAGACCACTCCCCTTCTAGTTCAAATTCTGATACTCAGGTAACATATAAATTCACCTTTTCTTCTTTATAAAGCTATTGCCCATCTTATTTGCTCATTTGCACTCGCATGGTTGAACAGGATCGGACTGGACGGATTATTTTCAAGCTCTTTGGCAAGGATCCAGGCAGTTTTCCTGAGACTCTTCGTGCTCAGGTACTGCAAAATGCTGTTACATATTGTCTCCCTTGAACATTCTTTCTTTGAATACTCAACTAAATCCTCATATTTTCTGCTATTGCAGGTATTGAATTGGCTTTCAAATAGCCCATCAGAGATGGAGAGCTATATTCGGCCTGGTTGTGTGGTCCTATCAATCTATTTATCGATGCCATCTATTGCATGGAATGCAGTGAGTGGCTTATTTATTTATACACTTTTTTTTGTTTAGGTATTTTTATATTTTAAAAATATATGTCGGTTTTGCAGCTTGAAGACAATCTTCTTCAGCGTGTCACTTCTTTAGTTCAAGACTCTGAAACTGAGTTTTGGAGAAGTGGGAGATTTTTAATTCGTACAAATAGACAGCTGGTGTCACATAAGGATGGTATGGTTTCTGATATCAATTTTTATGAAGCCATCATTTCCCTTTTTTTGTTTCAATTATTTGGATTCTCATCAAACTTATGTTTGTTGAGGCACTGAAATCAGATCATCATAATTAGATTTTTTTTTTAATATATAACTATGAAATTGTTATCTGCTACAGGTAAGATCAGATTGTCTAAAACTTGGAGGGCATGGAGTGCTCCAGAGTTGATGTGTGTATCACCTGTTGCTGTGGTAGGTGGGCAGGAAACTTCCCTTGCACTAAAGGGTCGCAATTTGACCGTTCCGGGCACCAAGTGAGTGGAGCATCACAATACTTAATTTATCCAAACAACTGCTTTTGCTACCCAATCAGTGTTACTCATAAATTAGTTGTATTCATGTAGGATCCACTGCACTTACATGGGTAAATACATGTCAAAAGAAGTTCTTTGCTCAGCATATCCTGGCACCATATACGATGATTCCTGTGTGGAAAGGTTTGACTTTCTTGGAGGATCTCCAAATGTCTATGGTCGCTTTTTTATTGAGGTGATTCACCTTCACTTTAGTCCAGTTTAGATACAAGCATGACTTTACCACTTCCCATATAGATGTGAATGGTAAGCCCTTGTTCTCAACTTAGTTTTGAATTTTGTGGCCAGGTGGAAAATGGTTTCAAGGGGAACAGCTTTCCTGTTATTATCGCTGATGATAGTATCTGCCAGGAATTGAGAGCTCTTGAATCTGACTTTGAGGAAGATGTTCAAACACCAGATGCCATCCCAGAGGAAGAGGTTCATAACAGTGTGCGACCCAGGTCAAGGGAAGATGCTTTGCACTTCCTAAATGAACTTGGTTGGCTGTTTCAGAGGACACAAGCGTCATGCAGCCCTCTGTTTGCTGATTTTTCCAGCACACGGTTGAAGTACCTCCTCACATTTTCAGTTGAGCGAGATTGGTGTGCTCTTATTAAAACGCTTCTGGATATTCTTGTGGAAAGAAGCTTAAGGAATGATACTATAAAGCAAGAGTCACTGAAAATGCTTTCAGAAGTTGAACTCTTGAACAGAGCAGTTAAGAGAAAGTGCAGGAAAATGGTAGATTTGCTTCTTCATTATTGCGTAAGCCATGGACAAGATGTGACAAAGGTGTATCTTTTTACCCCCAACATGTCTGGTCCTGGTGGAATCACCCCACTGCATATGGCTGCATCTATGCAAGACTCAGAGGACATGGTTGATGCACTCACTAATGATCCACAGGAGGTAAAGCTAATTCTACCTTTTTGTTATTTAGCCAGATATCTCTGCACTTATATTCTTTAACTACAATAACGTGTACCTTCCACAAAATGAACTAATGAATATGGGTATAATGTTAAAATGATGTGGTTTTGGAACTATTCATCTAAAAACTTAAATAAAACCACATCAAGTCATCATTATACTAACTAATTTATTTTTGAACCTTTAGAGGAATACTATTGCTAACTTGTGTCTCTAATTTCTAGATTGGGTTGAAGTGCTGGAACTCATTACTGGATGACAATGATCAGTCCCCCTTCATGTATGCTATGTTGAGGAACAATCTTTCGTATAACAGACTGGTGGAGAGAAAGCTTGCTGACAGGGCGAATGACCAGGTCACCATACTAGTTGAAGGCGGAGAAATATCCATAGATGGATCATGGGTAGGAGGATCAAACAGGCATGGTGCTCAAAATTCACAACTAAGATCTTGTGCACAATGTGCTTTGGTGGGGACTGCACGGCTCAGACGAAATGCTCGATCCAAGGGACTGCTTCAACGCCCTTACGTCCATTCATTGCTCGCAATCGCCGCAGTTTGTGTCTGTGTCTGTGTATTTTTCCGGGGCGCACCACAGATTGGTTCTATTGAGCCGTTCAAATGGGAGAATCTAGACTTTGGCCCCAGATAGTTTCAGTTGATTAGTCATGGTGCAACTGAAGTATAGGTGATTCAGATATGAAGACACTGAAAGTAGTGTTGCCTTGGTTTTGACACTGGCACCTTGTAACATAATATGGAGAAGTGGCTGATGGCAGGCAAGACAAGCTTGGGATGAGTGGTTTGGTCAAGAAAACCTTTTCACTAGCGAGGCCCTTGAGAAAGCAGGTACCAGGACGCAGATCGGAGTTGGGTGGGAGAATGGTGGTTCCCTCAAGCTGCCAAAGTAGACGAAGAAAACTCTGGGTACTAACTTTGCCTGTACTTAGAAGAATCCCTTGGCTATAATTGTTGATTATTGTATTATGGTTCTGCCTTTTTGTGGTATCTTTCCTTTTTAAATCTATGGAAAAGACAACACGAGAAGCCCACCATGTGTTTGTAATAACTTGGGGAGGAAAGAGGAATTGTATCATAGACGTGCTGGCGACGTTATAACTTGTTGAAGCTGTGCAGAGATGGGAGTGCAGACAGGTTGACAGACAGAGAGAGATACCACGATACCTTTTTCCAAGCAACATCTGATGACACATTGTGTAATGACTCACTGGGGCTTATCCTGACTTGGTTGGCGACGTCTGCATCTCATCCCTCGTATCTTCTTTGCGTGGCTGCTTTCCCTGCGAGTGCTACTCTTTCTTTTATGATCTCTTTCTTTGTTGCTGTCCTTGTATTCGCCTACTTTCTACTTCGATAAAGCGTGAGGTCATCACACACGTCGGTCCAGTTGATGAGAGAGAGAGAGAGACCTTCTTTATGTGCTCCTGTCATCCTATCTCCATGTTCTCTTCTTGTCGAAGTTGCTCATAAGAAGCCTGCATAAGACGACTAATCATGACTTCGTCGCCACATCAATTCGACTAAGCTTTCTCTCATGTCCTTCTTGATCAAACGCAACAAGCATGCGCGCGTTGCCCAACGAAAGGCACGTCGAATGATCCTCCATTAAACCCGCTCTCGTGGACACAATTATTCCACCCTTCCCTCATCTCCTTCGCCCTTTTACCCCACACTCGCCTCTCTCATCCCTATTTAAACACTCCTCTATGCCTCGTCTTCCCATAGACATACTCTCGTCTCTCACTCTTGGATACTGTGTTGTATTAGAAATATACAGATGAGGACTATGATAGACTTGGGGAGCCAGAGAGACTCTCTCTACATCATCGACACGGCAACTGCCGTCGACTGCACCAAGGACGTCCGCTTCCGGCGATCTTTCCGAAGCCTCATCGAGTGCGTGGTTCCATGCTGTGGCTTCCAGCTGTCGTCCAACACTTCTGATGTTCCAGACTCTCATTCCACCGGCGGCGGTTCCACCCCCCCAACCACCACCGTCACCGGCACCTTCTATGGGCACCGCCGCGGTCACGTCAGGTTCTGCCTGCACGACAGCTCCCGGACCTCCCCCATCCTTCTGCTGGAGTTCACCATCCCCACCGCCTGCCTCGCCAGGGAGATGCGGCATGGGCTACTGCGCGTGGCGCTCGAATGCGACCGGAATCGTGCTCGGTGCTCGTCGCTGTTCGGCGTGCCGGTGTGGTCGGTTTACTGCAACGGGCGCAAAGTGGGGTTCGCCATCCGGCGTCGGATGAGCGAAGGCGACGCCGCCATCTTGAAGCTAATGAGGGCCATATCGGTCGGAACAGGCGTTCTTCCTGGTGCGTCCAAGATGGGTGAAGGAGACATTCTGTACCTGAGGGCAAGCTTTGAGAGGGTGATCGGTTCGATCAATTCGGAGTCGTTTCATATGATCAATCCGGTGGGCTGCACCGGGCAGCAGCTGAGCATCTTTCTTGTGAGAAGTTAGAGACCATCTACAATCTGCGTATTCTGTAAGTCTCAGTCAAAGATATGTTAGATAATTGAGACCTATGTCTACATGTTGATGTCTGTAGGCCTATTGACTTGTCTTATCATCAAAGCTGGTAATTCTGTGCGTCATCGTTGACTCTCGTCAGCAGGTTTCAGCTGGGCCATGGCATTCACCAACCATTCATGATCACTCTCTGTACGCATGCAGGAGATCGGAGTTCGTAAAAGCACGGAGGTGCCGAAACCCTTTAACGCCGTCAGAGAAAGACGACGACGCAGGCAGGCATGCATGCATGGGATAACGCTGTTTCCAAGACAAGACGCATGGATTGTTTGGTTGCCGGCGTATAAATCTCTGCTTTCTGCAGACGACGAATCATAGCCTGTGCGTCCCATAATGCGTGTTCTCCTCGTGCTGTGTGCATTCTCAAAGGATGCAGAAAGGGCTGACGCACGCCTGAGAAATGAAGCATCGGCATCAGCACAAACCATTATCCAACATCATGATCACAGAATCTAACCGGCCGTAAACCCGAAATGATGTCCCATTTCCGTCTCCCGGAATGCGTGCACCGAATAGATTGACGAGATCTAATGTTTGTTTACAAGCCAATCTCAAATGAGAAAACTTAATGGAAGTCTTTTTCTATTTAATCTTGTTTAACTAAACTAGTCTTCTTATTAATGATGATTGGTGCAAACAAACATGGCGAGTTTTAGAAAACAAATTTTTTTCTTTTTTTATTTTTTTTAAGCGCCTCTAAATAATTTTTTTATATTTAAAATATTTTTTTTTTTAATTTTCTATAGATCCATTCATATGGTGAATCTATCTATTTACACTATTTATACATTGTATCTAAATATTTTTTTAAATATATGAAAAATAAATAAAAATATTATATTTATATTTGAAGCAAGAAAAAAGCCTTTTTTTAGGGTCATAAAAATACCATTTTACCCTTACGTTATGAAGGAAATCATAACGCAACCATACAAGAGAATGAGGGGCAATATAGTAAAATAAGCACCCATCTTTTTAGAAACCGCTCCCTAAAGAAAACGGCGTCCGCCATCACAACTAAGAACCCTAATTGTGTCGGCGTCTCCCGCATTGGTCTGCCGCCGACCACCACAATCCCTGAGCCCATTCGCAGCCGAGAGAGGAGAATGGTTGGTTTCGCTCCTGTTACTTAGTTCTCGTTCGGTTTGTATAGTTGATACTGACAATTCCGTGACGGTCGATCTCGTCCTTGTATTTTGATTCGATCTTTTTGCTGTGCTGTGGGGGATGAACAGGCGGACGCTTCGGACGCGGTGGATGTCGGAGGGGCGCAGCCGAAGAAGAGGACCTTTAGGAAGTTCTCCTACCGTGGCGTCGATCTCGACCAGCTCCTCGACATGGGCCTCGACGAGCTCGTCAAGCTTTTCGATGCTCGTGCTCGCAGAAGGTTTGGATCTTTTTGTCTCCTCCATTCTTCTTCTCTTTCACTATTGTAGCCACCATTAGGTCTCGTTCTCTTTGACGACCTTCTTGTGGCGTGGCATGGACGCATGCAGGTTCCAGAGGGGGCTGAAGAGGAAGCCCATGGCTCTGATTAAGAAGCTTCGCAAGGCGGTACGATGCTCTTCTCTTTTATGCTTGAACAGATGTCGATGAATCTCCTGTTTCAATTCTATTTTCCTTGTCATTGGTCGTCTGCTATATGTTCCCCTTCCAGTAACTGTTTTGCTATGTACACAACAATAACGTTGAATTGACGAGTAGCTAACTTCTTGTTGTTATCCGTTCCTTTTTTTTTTTCTTTTGTGTTTGGAACATAAAAGGAGAGGAAGAACACATTTGGTCACTGTTGTTTTGTTTCTGGAAGTATTTTTGTAGATTTTATGCAAGAAGTTCTCTGCAATATTGAACTAATAGGAGGATTGGTGGGACTGGGAAGGATTATGAGTGATTCGTTGGATAGATTCATCTTATGCCATGTAGCTAAAAGAACCACGAAGGTTTCTCACTCATGGCTTTTGGGGGTTTGGCTGCAGGCGTTGTTGATGCAACTGAATGGCATGGATTGGATTAAAAAAATAGTATTTATATCCATTTGTTTTCATGAACGATTAAGTAGATAAAGATATTATAGGATACACAATTTTGATGGGCAACAAATCCCTGAAAGTTAATGTTTTGATATATTAGATCTATTGTTCAGTAGAAAGGGAAGTTGAAAAAGATAATGCTATTTTCATTTTGTGGGGCAACCTTGGTGACTTACGATTGCTGGGCATAGTGAACTCTTTTGATGATTCATTTTATGAAACATCTGTTAGACTTGATGGACTTCATAGACATATTAAAATGTTAGCAGATAATAGCACACAAATATAGTGAATTCTTGATTGAGTTCGAGTTTCTAGAGAAGATAGAATAATAAATATGATATAGTGAATTCTTGATCGAGGATCGAATTAGAGAAAAGTGTTTTAATGTGGTTTTGATGGTAGCCTAAGAAGATGGATATGTGCATTAGATATACCTATTGTTAAATTAGATTCTGGTTGTCTTATGTAGTGCTGATTCAGAGTCGATCGAGGTCTTTTTTGCGTTTGTCTCAGGACGAAGTGGTGTCGGGCGAGGGAAGAGTCCGAGCGAAGGCCCTGCAAAACTATGTCAAAGTCGTGCTTGACAAGGGCCCTTTGATGTTTATCTCGGTTCCCATTCGTAGGATTCGGTCAAGTGTCGAATCTATGTGAGTCTAATTGTATTTGGGTGAGTTAGATGATTGAAAGTGTACATGAGACCTTTTTAAAATGCATTATGAGATCGTTAAATTGGAGGTCGTGGTTAAATGCCAGGTACGATTACGTTCATCATTTGCCATAAGTGAGGTCGTGTAGTCGTGTGTCGAACTCGGGAATTGCAAAGTAATGACTTGTGAAGTAACAACTTGTTGAGTCGGCTCCCATAGATGCAATGCTGTCAGTCGTGTGGACTTTGATCCCACGTGACACGTTGGCTGAATAGGATTGGAGGTGTTAGCCAAGTGATCTTGACATGTCGGCCATGTAATAGTGATTTATTGGCCAAGTGGCAATGAGGTGTGGGCAGCCATCCATGTGTCACAATCCCCTATCACCTATAAATTTTTGCGTTTAGACATATGCATACCCAAGTTGCTCAGGTCCACACAATGTGATGAGGCCTAATACTTATACTAAATGCTTCTCCAATACTTGGAGTTTATCTGATTATTTGGATATGAATGATGCTTAATCTGTATCGTAATCCATATTCTGAAATTTCTGAGAAGAGTGTTTGATACAGATATGTGAAGCTACATATGAATTTGCCCATGCTTAGACTAATAAGTTTTGATGTATATTATTCAATTCTTCCCCTGTAAGCTGTAGACCTACAAAGCACTGATTAAGAAACTGGTTCATGGATACAACGAATCTTGAAGTCGCAAATAATCGTATGCTACTCACCATGAAATGTTCTGTATGAGGTTCCCTGCCGCTTTCTGTTTCTTGTGCTAACCAAATTGACCTAGTCCGTCATTCATTTTTGCTAACTTATGCAAATAGGAAATTTTATTGTTAATCCTTCCTTTTTTGCATGTTTTCATTTTACTTGTATCTTGTATCATCTGTTTCTTAGCTAATACATGTTCTCTTATTTGTTATGATTTTGAAAACTTGCAGAAGCGTGATGCCCCGCCTGGTGAAAAGCCTGAACCTGTGAGGACCCACCTTAGGAATATGATAATAGTCCCCGAGATGATTGGAAGCATCATCGGTGTTTATAACGGAAAAACTTTTAACCAGGTTGAAATCAAGGTAATTTTTACATCTTAACTTTTCCTTTTCCAGCTGGGATCGTGCTAGGTTTATCATGTTTTCTTTTTAACAGCCAATTGAAGCAGGTAGATTGGCATGTTATTTCACATAGACTTGGTTCTTAAAAATATAATAACAAATTTATGGATCGTTTCGTATATTCATTTCTCTGCTTTCACTTAATCTTTTGAATGTAATCTTTACCATGGCAAGGGTAACTGTATCGTGAAGCTTCTTAATATGGTTTATTACAGTAATAAATGTCCAATTGAAGCTGCTAAAATAGGCCAATTTTATGCCTTGAACTATAAATGACCTTTAAAATGGTTGAGCCGAGCTTGTTACATGTACATACCAACATAGGTATAGTGGAACTGATGATGGGATATGGTTTCGGATAATTGCTAATTCCATTCCGTTCCATTGTCTTTGTGACTACAGCCTGAGATGATCGGTCATTACTTGGCGGAGTTCTCTATCTCATATAAGCCTGTGAAGCATGGAAGGCCTGGTATCGGTGCCACGCACTCCTCCAGGTTCATCCCTCTCAAGTAACAACTGCAGATCGAGGATGTTGGCAAATTCCTGCTGCTATTCGAGTAGTTTCTTTTTTTCCCTCTTATGTAGGAGCCGCTATCATGTTTACTTATATCATCTGTCTTTTGGATTTATTGAGGGAAGTAATGTTGGTCTGTGTTAGATTCATCTCAGCTTTTTGTTTTGCCTTCCTTGACGAGAAGAAGAAACGATGGCTATTTCCTTGTTGGATAATTTTCCATTAAATCAGCTACTTTTACTTAAATATGCTTGAAAACGCTGTTAGTGCTACTTTCCTCTGGAGGGAGAGACGGAGGAGAGGCTGAAAGAATAAAGAAGAAAAATAAGATCAAATAAGATATAGATTAGATCGAGTTTGACACAAAACCATATAATAAACCTGAAATATCAAACACATATTTGTCATCCTCACCAGAGATTTTTTTTTTGTGCATAAATTGTCCAAAAAATTCAAGCTACTTGAGTAATTATCTTACACGGGAAAAACGGCTACATTATCATTATGAGCAGCAAATTTTACAGCTAACACATCATAAGGTACATACATAGCACACAAGATGGCAGTAGTTCTATACAACATTTAGAGACTCGGCTAATGTCTTCCTCACAGAAGAAGATTTGGCTACAGTAATGGAATCAGAAATAGAATTCATCCATCACCATCTTCCTGCACTTTCAGGAAGTAGTAGTCAGTAGCAAAATATACATCAACACTTGCTAGCCCAACATTTCATAGCTTAGAAGTTTTGATCATCTTCCTAACTAGAAGAGATGACCACTTCAGTAGTTGAGTTATTGCAGCTAATTCCGCCAGGCCAGCAGTGTATTAGCTTCTCTCAAACTTCTCGCCCTTCGGTAATCAATTTCTGCATCTGAGAATGATTGGCCCGGATGAGCTCGCTTGCGAACCTGGTCGTCTGAGGTCCTCGAGTCGACCTTCTCTGCCCCAACATTAAGTAACGGAGGGTAATCTGCAGACCAACAGTTGTGTTTTGGAGCTGGACAGCATAAAAGATGAGCAGCGCTCATGACATTTAGAACAGGAACTCAAAAGAAAATGATGCAGAAGATGTGTGATTCTGAACACATCTGATGTCGAGATGGTCTTGACAACAGCAGCTATTAGGAAAGCCTAGCATGATGGTTTGATATAAATGCACTAGAATATCGACTCCAATGAAATTGTCATTACCTGCATGTATATTGTTCTGGTTAGACTTGCAATCAGAAGTTGGTTGCTTCGGGCCCATAGTATCCAGCAAATTGGGTAGCTTTTTACCTTTATCATCTAACTCAGTAATGGGGCACTGCTCCTTTCCAGTTTTATTATTTGCAAATGGAGACATGGTGAAGGACTCATCAAGTGGATCAGGTAGCTCCACATGGTTCTGCGTTGTGATGATTTCATCTGCACTGAATCCAAATGATGCTCTATAGGCTTCAATCTCTTCCACATCTTGTTTGCATGTTTTGTTATGTCTGTTGCCGCCAATGGAGTATCCATCAGCTTCCCTGGAAATACTAAGCCTCCCTCCAGCATGGGGAAATGATTGCTGTGCCTGGTCCAAATGAAACTGTGCAGATGTTGCAGGATAAAAGAAGCTGGAATCAGGACACAATATGAAATTTCTGGTTGTAGCTGAATCAAGTCCAAACAGCTTGGATGACCCATTCCTGAAACAGGGAGAGTCACGTGCAGATGCAGAAGCATCCCACTGCATGGGAATATCCCGTTCAGGAAAAGGTGAAGATAGCCCGGTTCTTGGAGTTCCTGAGGCTGGTGATATAAGGCTGCTCGAAGGACTTCCAGGATAAAGTGGATAAGTGACCTGGAGATCGCTACCAACCCCATAGCTGGATGGCGAATAAGGCAGTCCATTCTCTTTCCCAGAACTTCTAATATCCAGAGATGATGACAGAAACCTTGCAAAAGGCACGTCTGGTGACGAGGGAGTTGTAAGGTGAGCAAGCTCGGGTGGAGGGGTTAGTGGAGCAGTTGATGGCTCAGTTGTAAAAGTAGAGAAAACAGGAGGTGAGACCAGCTGAGTTTCATGAGCATACGGTCCAGGTGCAAACATGGCCGATGACGGTCCTCCAGGAGAATTGGCTGATATTGACAAGAAACAATTGGGTGATTGGGCTGTCGAGGGAAGTGCAGAGTTTATAAAAGATGCCGGAGATGAAGGAGGGGCAAGAACTGATAAGTTCACTGTTGTATTTTCATTAGAAATTCCAGCAGCTTGAAGCCCATTGGCACGAGTAGTTGATGCATTCCCATCTGGAGTACGGGATGCTGGAACAATTCGTTTCTTCCTTTTCTGAGATCCAAACCAGGAAAACATTCCACCGAAGCAGCCTTCCCATCTACTCTGCTAGCTCGAAGAAACAAACATGTATAAATTAAATACAATAAGTATAAATATGTGAAATGCAACTAGGCAACAAATATAAACTAAATTGATTATGTAGGACAGCATCCTAATGCAGGACAATCATAACTGGAAATACCATAAATGTTGACTGTCAAAAGAATAATTCTCTTATTTACTTTGAGCAACGACATACTTACCCTAATTTGTTTTGCTTCATTATTCTGTTGTCTAACTGTAATATGTCTGGCTTATAGATCACTCAGTATAATTTAGTTTTATGGTATAGCAAATATTTAGCATAAATTGGTTTTACTTCGTGGCATGAATTACATATGTGCACTTCATTAAATTAAGTTATAGATTTTATTTTTTCTTAATCAAGAATATTTTAGCATCAGAAATGAATTTTGAAATATAAGATTCAATTTTACGGTTGCATTCACCAGAGGTATGTTCAGTTGGCTATGATGTCATCCAGATTGGCTGTGGAGGTTAATCTGACATGCACGGTTAGCAAGTTGATATCACCATCATAGATATATGCATAAATACCATGAAAATGCTGACCAATCAGCTCCATGTTATAGCAAGTTTCACCTATTGGTCCATGTTCTTTTCCACTTTTATTGAGGTCCAACCCTTATAAAGTCAGAATTTATGGAGACAACAATTATGATAAAACCTTTTCAAGATCCCGAGCAACAAACAGATCAAAACAATCAAAAAAGAAGAAAAGCCAAAGAAAGAAAATGAGAAAACATATGATGGATGGCGAGAAATCAAAGGATATGGTGACCAAAAGAACAAACCTAACTTGAAGAAAATATTTTAAATGACGGAACTCAGATGTATCCATATCACATTGCATATAAAGCATCAAAATCATGAAAAGAAACATACTACTTGCGTTTTTAAATGGATAAACAGGTTGCCGTTGTGATAGGACTCTTAGAATCATTTAAAGGTTTTCTCCAGTGGACCTGAGTGCTGAACCACATTTTGAAAAACTAACTAATCAGGACACAACTAAATTCTCATTATTAAGATTTAGGGATAGAATATGTTTGTTTGTGTAGATGATGTGAACTTGTGGAGCCTTTGGTCTCGAAGGAGAATAAAGTAATCAGATCTGAACAGTTTAGTTTATGGAGTTATTCAGTCTAATTATCCACAGATATCAAGGACGATTCAGTTAAAACAAGGGTGGCCCAGTAGACGAGGCAGACTTACCCCTAAAAATTATATGTATTATGACAAATATACATTAGTGTCTGCTGTTAGTAAAATCAGCAAGAGAGATAGGAATGCTGCACTCAGGAAACAACACTACAATCCTTTTCTTAAGGACAGAGTCAAGCCAATCAATCTTCTACATGAGAAAAAAGTAGGCGATTTATGTGACAAATCCAAGAGGCCAAGTCTGGACTATGGAATGTAACAAATGGTACTGTTGTAAAGGGTTCCTATCAGTAAGCAAAATTTGAAAGTATATGCCCTAGTCACTAAGAGCAAACATTGTCAATTCATTCAACACTAAGACACGTTAATCTGAAAAATTGCAGACTAGTGCATAAGGCTCCCACCAATGCAGCTCTCAGGTGGACTAATGTAGGTATCATCACCTCTGCATGTGAACAGTTGTTACCATGGTTAAAACCTTATAAGGTTTGTGATAAAAATTACCAGGGTTCGAGTTGCGAAAACATTCATTTTGCCTGTAGGGGTAAGACTATGTACATCAATAATGATGTTACATATTGGATTTAATTCATAAAATCATCACATGATAAAAAAAGAGAACCAATACAAGTTTCCTAATCCATGCCGGTTAAAGCACAGAAAAATTAATCGATTATAATACAATTAGATGAAAAGGAATTGAAGCATAGGACATTTTTCATTCGGTTGTTCGGTGGAACCATCTTGTTCACTGTTTTCTTGTATTACCAGGAAAGTATAATTGGTAATGCTTCCATAAAAGCCAAACAAAAATTTGTACCCCAACCTGCCTCATCTACCGTATAATTTGAATATCTTGAGACTAGAAGGCTGCAAATCTGGACATTGGATGAAAGGGTAAAAAGCCTTAAATGATTAAAGCAAAGTACAAAGGTTCTTTTTAGTTTTCTAGCGGACTAAGCACATAGCTCAGTTGATTAGTTAGGATTGTGAAGCAGATGCTACCCATCAGTTCATACAAGAGAAGTTGGCCTTCATAAAACATTACAATATGTATATCAGGATATCAAATTACATACAAACCTACAATGGAGAAACTAAAACATGGTGAGATAATTTATCAAATCATCGCAACATCCAATGCAAGGACAGTATTTTCCATTAAAAGATCATATTTATGAAAGAAGTTTTGATGATCCAAAACAAAACATCAAATGGAAATTGGTCAACAAAAATGTTTTCCAGACTCTCAAGTGGAAATTAACTAACAGGAAGCAGGAGTATGAAGACCCAAGACTGGAGGTAAAACCTGACATTATTTCGTTCAAAAGATTAACATAGATAGGATCCCTGAAGAGCCTTCCATTGATCACCTTATCAAGAAATCAGATGTCAGTTTCATAAATCCCACCACCAAAACCCCAGTTTATGTTCTTTTAGTTCTTAAGAACGTATTTTCCAAAAGAAAGGGCAGTATTAGGGTAGATGATGCCAAAAAGAGGCCTCATCCAAACAAATGAGCCAATTTGGTACATCGAAACCCTAGATCTGACCACAACGAAACAACGGAGGCCGCCATGGGGTCTCCGATTCTTTTCCCTAACACTGCAATCGCTACAAATCTAAATCTAAAATGCATGAAGAGTCGCAGTACACCGAGGAATTCACTTGTAAAGAGAGGTAGACCAAGCTGGAAGACCAAAAATCGAGAGAGCTAAAGATGTGCAAGGGGAGAGTAGGGCGAAGAGCAGCAGACATACCCTCTCCTGAGGACCTAGCCTCGGCTCCACGGAGCCAATGGCAGTGGCCGCCAGGGCGCTGATGGACGGCGCCGCCTCCCCACCGCCGCCTCCGACCCCGTTGCTGCCTTCTCCACCGCCATTTCCTGCCATTGTTAACCGCTGACTCACTGCTCCAGTTGCTCCAATAGATCAGAGATTCCTTGGAAGAAGAGGAGGAGGAGGACTCCCAGGTGGAGAAGGGGCAGCAGCAAGAAGAAAGGATTCTGCTTTGCTTCGGTTTTTGTTCCCGTTTAAGTGAGGAGCGAGCAAGTGAAGCAGCACAAATGCCCGCGGGGCCCTCCGTCCCCCTCTCTCTGCTCACTCCTCCCCTGCTGTGTGCTCCCACCGCCTTCATCCACCTCTCACTGCACCTCTATGTAAGCACTGCCTCTCTCTCTCTCGCTCTCTCACTCTCTCTATCTTCGTGCAGGTGCAGCCTTTTTCCATCCATCTTTTCTTTTCTCTTTTCTGGCCCTTCTTTCCCCTTTTTCTTTTTGTTTCTTTCTCTTTCTTTGCGTCCTCGCTCCCTCAACAGTCTTCTTGTGTTGCTTACAGGTGTGAGCAAGAGATGCGTGAGGCAAGAGAGAGGGGGTGTAAGTGAGGGTGGGTTTTCGAGTGTCTATCATAATTCATATCATGGGATCTATAACGTGATATTACCAGCTTCGGGTGAAGCTATACATTCCCTTACCGTCAATCGTGCCCCGCCGAAAATACCCACTTACGATTGGACAAGTCGGACACACGTGGAACCCTGTCACCGATCGCAAGAACATGGACGACGTGCTCTCTCCTTTCTATTAATGAGGACTCGGACATCGAACACTACGAAGGCCTTCCTCTCTCTTCTTCTCCCTATGAGTCGACCGTACGACGATGTTATCGATCAACACACCGCTGTTGAACTCGACGTCACGCTACGCTCTCGGTGAGCCAGCCTCATCATTCGGATGAGGCGTAGGAGGAGGACGGGGAGAGGATGGCCGCCGCCGCCGCTGCCGCAGCAGTCGTTCCAACTACCCCCATCTATACATCCCTCTTCCGCCTGCTCCTCCGGTGCACGGAGCAGAAGAATGTCGCGCGGGGGAGCACTCTCCACGCCTACGCCCTCAAATCAGGCTCCTGGGCCGACGTCTTCCTCAGCAACAGCATTGTGGTCATGTACGCCAAGTGCGACAAGCTGCCTCGCGCCGCCGCGGCTTTCGAGGACATGGGCGCCGGCAGAGACGTCGTCTCCTGGAATTCCCTCATCAACGCCTACTCGCAGCTTGGCCCTCATGGCTCCCCTGCCGCCTTTCACCTCTTCAGGAGGATGAGGGCCGAAGGCGGCGTGCATGTCCTTCCCAATTGCTTCACTTTCGCGGGTGTATTCACGGCCGCCTCCCATTCGCCCGGCGCGAGCGGGTACGGACGAGAGGCTCATTGCGTCGCCATCAAGACGGCGAACTGCGACGATGTCTTCGTAGGCAGCTCTTTGCTGAACATGTACTGTAAGCTGGAATGCATTACAGACGCACGCAAGGTGTTCGACAGGATGCCCCAGAAAAATGCCGTCTCTTGGGCGGCCATGATCTCTGGCTACGCGGTCGACAAGGCCGGGTTGGAGGCCTTTGAGCTGTTTAGACTTATGTTGGAAGCAGGTGAGTGTGGCACCAACGAGTTTGTGTTCACCGGTGTTCTTAGTGCCTTGAGTGCTCCTGGGTTCCTCGAGATGGGTCAGCAGGTTCATTGTCTTGCCATTAGGAACGGTATATTGTCCTTTGTCTCGGTTGAGAATTCTCTTGTCACCATGTACGCGAAATGTGAATGCATGGATGATGCACGACTCATGTTCGAATCATCGGCAGGCAAGAACTCCATCACATGGTCTGCGATGATCACTGGGTATGCACAGAATGGTGCCTCCAGGAAGGCTTTATCTTTTTTCCTGAAGATGCATATGGCAGGGTTCATGCCCAGTGAGTTCACGTTTGTTGGGTTCCTCAATGCTTGCAGTGATGCAATGGCCCTAGTTGAAGGGAAACAAGCTCATGCCTTTTTGCTGAAGGTGGGATTTGAGCTTCAAGCCTACGTGAAAAGCGCACTGGTTGATATGTATGCTAAATGCAGTTGTATTGATGATGCCAGAAAAGGATTTGATGGGTTGCACGATGCTGATGTTGTGCTGTGGACCTCGATGATAGGAGGGTATGTGCAGAATGGAGAGCATGAAGAGGCTCTAGCATTATATGGAAGCATGAGAAAAGAGAGTATTTTGCCTAGTAATCTTACTGTGGCTACCGTTCTTAGAGCATGTGCTAGCCTTGCTGCTCTGAAACAAGGGAAGCAAATTCATGCCTGTTCTCTTAAGTATGGATTCAGTTTGGGGATTCCAATTGGTAGTGCTCTATCTACCATGTATGCAAAATGTGGTAATCTTGAAGATTGCAGCCTTGTCTTCAGAAGAATGCCTCAGAGGGATGTTGTTGCATGGAATTCAATTATATCAGGATTTTCTCAAAATGGACGTGGAATTGATGCCTTGAACCTCTTTGAGGAGATGAAGAAAGAGGGCACAGAACCAGATCATGTCACATTCGTCAACCTCCTCAGTTCCTGCAGTCATGTTGGGCTAGTTGAAAGAGGTTGGAGTTACTTAAGGTCAATGCTTAATGACTACGGACTAGTTCCACTGACAGAGCACTATGCTTGCATGGTCGACATTCTCAGTCGAGCTGGGTTGTTCAAGGAAGCTAAAGACTTCATAGAATCAGTTCCAATCAATCATGGAACATGTCTTTGGCGGATAGTACTAGGGGCCTGTCACAACTATCGGAACTTTGAAATTGGTGCATATGCTGGAGAGAGGCTCATGGAACTTGGCTCACAGGACTCTTCTGCTTATATTCTGTTGGCAAATATATATGCCGCCTGGAGTCGGTGGAATGATGTGGAACGAATTAGAGGATTGATGAGGCTCCGAGGAGTAGACAAGGACCCTGGATGCAGTTGGGTTGAATTGTATAATACAGTTCATGTTTTTGTTGCTAGGGAGCTGCAGCACCCTGAGATAGAGGACATATATGCAGAATTGAGAAGACTAATTAAAAACATGAAGGATGAAGGCTATCGTCCTGCTTCACGATCACCATGTCATGATTATCTAGAATCAGAAATAAAATTTCAGACTGAAGAAGCGTCGCAATTGATAGCATCTGCTCTTTCTTGACCCTCATGAATCAAATGATTTCCCTATGCTGGATTCTAACAAGCGGAACGGGTATATAATTATAGCCACACCATTCAAACTTTGGCTTTTAGTGCCAAGTCTTCAACCACATATTTACATTATTACTTGGGATCATCTAGAACAGCTGGAGCATGGGCAGGTGTTGAATTATTCTGGTTGTAGAATGTTGGCTTCACACATTTGACATGATGATAATAGGAACATTTGTTTTAAATTTGCTTCTGGAGATCTTAGAGCATACACAAATTTGTTTTTGTAATTTATTGAACAATATGGATAAGGAAGTGCATAGATGATTAAATTTGTTTTTGAAATCATCTATCATGCATAGATGATTAGATTCAAACAATTTCACAACAACTACTCTTAATATGCATGTGGATGAACTTTGTCATTCTTGTTCATCATGTCAATTGTGTGATTAAATCATTTGTGGATTCTCTTTTTGCTGAATTTGATGAACAGAGGATCATATATTTTGTACTTATCATCATTTCCTTGCCTTCCAAGTCTAAAACTGACATGCAACACTCTAAAAGATGATGTGAAACTAAAGCTCATTGATCTTTGGGATCAATTTGATAAGTGAAGCCATGAAGGCATAGATGATCAGATTGTGATAAATAGCTACTCAATACTTTTTCCTATATATGAGAATAAAATTTTCCTGTCATTCTTCTCATTTACCTAACTATGCAGTTAAAGTGTTTTGTGTACTCTATTACCTTAGTTAACAGAAGTATGGAATGTAATTTGTACACTACTAAGTGTTTTAACGCAAAAAAAAAAACCAGGAATATGATAATTGTAATCACACCACATTCTTGGAGCTAATTGATCTAAGGAATATTTTAGGATGCTCATGGTAGTAACTGTTACTTCACTTTATTCTTTCTTATGAGGCTTATCCTTACACATAGGCTATTAAAAACCATCAGTATCAAGCGATGTCAGGTGTCAATCTTTCTTCTTATTGTTATTCTAAATTCTGTTTGATGCAGATTTTTTTTTCTACAATATCTCCTTCCGGCGAATTTTTGGAAAAAGAAACTCCAATTTTTGAGAAATTCCTAAGCATCCTAACTTTTACTCCTTGGCCGTTGCACAAGCGGGCAGCATCCCTTGTGCTGCCTCCGCTATCACCTCCCCTCCCTTCAGCCTTATTAGACTCATCGTCGCCTCCGTTATTAGCGCTCGCTAGACCCATCGTCTTATCTTGGTTGTCCTTACCTGTTACACAGGTAGCCAGTATTATCCGTGTCATCTTTGCCACCGTCTCCCCTCTCACCTTTAACTCATTGAACTTGTCACCACTTTCATCTTTGCCGTTGGCCTTTGTCAAACTCATTGCCTCGCTAGTGTCCCCTACATCACATCTACTATTGCCTCCCCTCTTGGCTCTTGTTGGACCTATCACCTCACCCTTGCTATCCTCCCTCACTATATAGGTGGCTAGCGTGACTTGTGTTGCCTCCGCCACTGCCTCCCATCCTCTCTACCTTATCAAACCTGTTATTGCCTATGCCCTTGGACGTTACCTTACCCTCGTCATCCTTGTCACTGCACACATGGCTAATATTATCGTCTATGGCCCTCGCACGAGGAAGGTGAGGGAGCAAGGGTTGTCGTCACCTTCGCATAGGATTAAGGCAAAATTATCTTTTCAGTGCTCCATACCAATTTATCAAAGATAGTGATTTTTCTAAGAAATTCGTTATCTTTTTTGACGTCTTCAGCATTTTGTAATTTAGTTGAGGTATGTCCATGACAAGCAAAGTGTGCTTTAGGCATATTTATTTTCTCTAATTAGCATATAAGATTAGCTTGACTCTGCTCCCAAACTCTTTTTATGTATCCATAATAAGGTTCATACAGCTTTCAATCTCCCTTCAACTTTTTAATGAACAGTTCAGTTTTTTTTTTTTTGGTAGATCAACATGATCTTGATTTGGTTGAGAGTCTGATGCATCATACATTCCAATCCCAAAACCATGTTGGGAACTTGAAAGATCTTGCAAAGCATTTAAAGTATTAATAGATGCGAAAACCCTGAATAATCTACCACTAAATGAAAAGAAGTGCCACCAACTGTTTCATTCAATCAGTTTCCCTTCCTTTGTACAAACGAACATGAAGGGCCCAATGTCAACTCATGGGCAAAACATGCAAATGCAAGTAGTCAACTACTCTTCTTCAAGAGCGATATATATATATATATATTGGTAGAAAAAAGAAATGAATCAAGTCAAACAGAAGAAAAGAATCAATTTTTTCTCCTTTTGTTTTGAGAAAAATTAGATTCAGAGCTGCTGCTGCAGCAGCAGCATCTGTTGCTGCTGGTGGTAACTTGGGTGGTGTTGTCTGCTACCGCCAGCCGAGACGTAGAAGGCGGCCATCAGATCCCGGAGCTCCATGTAGTGGACGGCGGGGTCGCTGCTCCTCAGCAGATCGAGCAAGTACAGAAAGAAGTCGATGTCGCAGGCGATCCGCAGCGCCCCCTCGTACGAGTACCCGAACTCCGGCACCGACAGCCGCAGCAGGTCCTCCAACAGCGGGTGGTTGAGGTAGTTCGCCTCCACCTCCAGCCTCCGCGCCGCCGCCGCCTCCGTGCCCACGCACACCCATATGTGGCCCTCCGGTAGCCCACTCCGGAAGTTCCTGCCGCCGCAGGCTAAAAACTTCTTCACCAAACCCGTCATGCCGATCGCCATTTGCTTGTCAAAGGTGCCTTTCGCTATTAGACTATGCTGATGTTGATGAGTGGAGGAGGGAGGAGGTGTGGAGCGTTTTATAAAGGCAGCCGGTCAGCATGCAAATGATGTGTCTTTTCTCATTCACACCGGTGATCCGAATACGCTGCATGTTCCAGTAATGAATGTTGCAGATATCCCTTGATTTTTTTCGTGTACACACGCAAACTGCTGTCGACACAAAGCCTTCAGCTTTAAGGTAGTCTGAGCCGACGTACGATCGAGCTATTCTGATTCCATCACACTGTTATCTTCCACAGTTAACTGAAGGCCAAGAACAAATCAAGCTTGGTGTCGTCCTCTGAAATGTATAACATGAACGCCACATGTAGTCTTGTGCTGCTGCCTCGTCGAGGCACATGCACGAAGGTAGCGGTTGACTGTTGGGAATCGCTCTGCTTCTACACGAAATTAAAAGGATTTCAGATCCAGATTTATGTAAAGCCAACATATTTGACGAATATAGTTCCCTTACCCATTAATCTATGGATATTTCTTCCAGCCTCGATGTTTAGATATGAGTATCTATCATGTGGGTGGGGGGCATGCATGACAGTTGAGGCTTGACTTCGCGTGGTGCTGTAGCCGCGGAATAAAGGAGGGAAGCACATGGGATATGGGTTGGAGACGAAGGCTTTGGAATATTTAAGTGGAGGAAAGCGTGTTAAGCTCATAGAGATGGAGAGAAGAGAGGAGAGGTGAGGAGAGATCCAACAACACATGAGATGGCCGTGGCGGACGGTGGTGCTATTATTGTTTAGTTGGGTACGCGGTGCGAAGAACCAACGCAATGATGTGCTGCGATCCCCACCTATCCATCTTTCATCTCTTCCCATCTCATCAACATGCGGATGGATGAAAACAAGCAGTAGCAGAAAGACAATTACCAAAGGGAACTTTGGGACGAACTTTGGATCTTGCAGATAGTGGGGAAGGTAATGAACCACCAGTCTGGGCTGAGCTCCATGAACACAATGCAGCTTACTACCCATTAAGTGTAGGCTTTTAAGGAAATGAACAAATGCTCCCTCTACATTTATTTACACTATACATATACTACATATCATACAATGAAATGAAGCTCATTTCCTGTAATTGGTGGGCAATCTGTTGGAGAAAGGCGAAAGATGAATGGACCGACGAGGTTCATCGGAGTTATACAAAGTGCAAATGTCGGTCGGTGGAGTCGACTGTCAAACCAAGCAAGTAAATGTTTTCTTTGTCGTTAGTTGATGACCTTTCATTCCTCGTCAACTCGTTAAAGATGATAAGCAGATAGTGTCAGATTATGCGATCATACTTAACCTAAGTTATGGGATTCTCATTAAGATTATCCAACTAAGTATAGTTATGTTACCAATGGATTCTCATAAATTACTTTCTCTATACACTTTGTTTTAGGGATCGATATGCATAGAAAATAACATAAGATTATAAGATCCCTCACACACACGTACACAAGGAAGCCGCAAACGAAAAAGGCGTCGTCGTTGTTTTAATCGACGGACTGTCGTCTGTTGGCGACGGTGTAGTGAAAGGTCGCAACCTACTGTGGTCACCGGTCTTGTCAAATGTTGTTGCTGTGCAATGGCAGCATATGCGGCAGTCGCTGGATGCTAAGGCTGTCCACGGCGGTGAAGCAAAAGTGCGGCGGATGGCGGTGTTCATAGGTTGCTGGCCCTGCGATGGGTAGCGGCAGCGCTCTGGAGGGCGGCGGCGTTCCTTGGTTGCCGGCCCTGCCATTTACCGCGGCTGCACATGCAGCGGGAGTGTTCTGTGTGGTAACACAGGAGTGCAGCAGCTGGGCGTCACTGCCAGTGTTCACGACGGTGGAACTTAGCCGAAGTTGCAGCATACAGACCGGCAGCGCCAGGATGTTCGCTGCTGGATTGGTGGGTAGCCGACCGCGGTATGGAGGTCGTGATGCGGCAGCGGTGGGCGGGCTATGTCGCGCGGCCATGGTGGCTATGCACGACTGTTGGTAGGCTGCGTCGCGAGGCTATGGTGGCTATGCACTGCGGTCGGCGAGCTGCGTCGCGTGGCTATGGTGGCTGTGCACGGCGGTTGAGAGGCGACGGCACTGCTGCGTCGTCGGACAACGTTGGAGATTGGCTACCGATGAGAAACGTGCGACAGTAGCCACGGGCGGACCAGTTGGGGACGTCGCGCGAATTAGATGTTAGCTCTCTATTTGGACTATCGTGATTTTTTAATTAAAAAAATTATATTAAAATATTTATAGGTCTAAAAGAATAAACATTTTTATTTATATGTAAAAGTAATAGAAAAAAAAATCTTAATATTCCTTTCGTTTCTATCAATTTTACATGTCAATAGATAATTTTAATATTTTAAATAAAAAAAATTAAAATATTTTTTTTGTCCATCACTTTTGTGTCGATTGTGGTATCATGCATTATGTAATTAACATTCGTTAATGTAATTGATATTCGGACAAATGAGTTTATTTGTTTTACTTTTAATACTATAAAGATCTTAATGTAAATTTTTTAAATATAAAATTAATAATCTCAATAGAGTCAACAAAAACAAATGATAATATGTAATTATCCCATCTCTATAATGGTTGAGTGGTCTCAGTTGAAGCGATTTGATAGTCTCTTCGCTGTCGACTTTTTCCACATCATTTGAGACCTGTATCAACTTTGAATCTGTTGCTGGTATTGCTGCTGCTCTCTTCTCGATCGATCTGCAGAGATTGGAGAAGGGCTGCTAGAGATTTTGACTTTGATTAGATTTGGGCCTTTTGATTAGTTTTTAGATTTTGATGAGCTAAAATCTAATTTGACCTATTTTGACCTTGGCCAACTTTAATTTTGATTGAATCTAAAAGATGACTTAAGTCAACATTAAATTTTGATCGAATCTTGTTTTGACCTCAATCAACCCTAATTTTGACTAGTTTGATTGAGTGGACTAGATATTAGGCCCAATTTGGATGGTTTGGCTATCTGATTTGGATGGTGAAAAAAATATATTCCTTATGTTATATCTATTTAAGGATGGGTTCAATAACCATCTTTAGTAGAATTGAAAAATCTTCTTACTTCTTAGAAATCTCTTGTTCTAACAGGAGTTTTTATTTCAAGGGGAGATAGAGATGCTTTTTTTACAAATAAGAAAAAAAGATAATGATATTGATAAGAAGAATAAAGATGATGCTAACAACAAACAAGAGTCTTCTTCAAAACAATGGTGCATATCGAAAGAATATTAAGAGTTATAAGTATAACAAATTAGGCCATATAAAAAAAAATTATTATGTGTAGATTAAAAGAGGAAACATTATAAATAAAGAAGATTGTTCTAATGTTGCTAATGAAGATTAAGGTAAGTGTTTTATAGTTGAAATTACTGAGCACATGATATCTATCAATTTCAAATATGATTGGATTGTTGATTTAGGATGTGATCATCATCTCATTGATAATGGTATGAAATTCATCGATCTTCATCAATATAAAGGTAATGAATTAATTATCATAATAGATAATACTATTCACTAAGTGAAAAAGGAAGGTGCCATCATAATCTTAGATAAAGATGATGATATTATTATATTAAACAGTGTGTATCATATTTGTCTCTTCTCTATTGCAAATACAGTTGATGCTAGAAATTATATTCTTTTTTATCCTAATGAAGTTAAGTTTCTTCGTAATATAAAAGAATTAAATATAGATGTAGTATATACTGGTCAAAGATTTATATATTTTTATCAAAATCAACCTCTTATATTGATAAAACAAGTACAAATGTAGGTGCATCAATCTAGCTTGTTATACTTGATCATATAAATTTTCTTATATTAAAAATTATGTTGTAGAAAAGTTTACTAAATGATCTTCCCAATCTTACTTCTTTTAGCAGTGATAAAGTTTGTGAAGGTTGTCAATATGACAAAGCACACAAATAACCTTTTGATAGATCATTTTCAAGATATATAAATTCCTTTTGGAGCTTATTTATAGTGACATAATGGGCCTTACTCAAACACTATCTTATTCAAGTTCTCGTTATATGATTTTAGAAGGTTCACTTAGGTCTATTTTGTGATGGAAAAATTAGAAGTTTTTTTTTAAATTTCAAGAGTTCAAGTTAATTATTGAAAGTGCTCTTGAAAGAAAATTTAAAAGATTTTGCATCGATAATGATGAAGAGTACATTTTTTATAGATTCTTCTATGTTTGTAAAGTGTATTGCATCAAAAGAGAATTTATATATGTAAATACACCAAAGCAAAATAGTATGGTTGAATGAAAGATTTGATATCTTATGAAGACTTGTAAGTGTTGCCTTCATACAAAAAAATTTACCAAAAGTTTTATACGCAGAAAGTATGACATATGTAATTTATGTTATTAATCGAATTCTTCTTAGTCTAATCAATCTGAAGTCTCTATATGAGCTTGTGTTCGGTGAGAACCAAATGTTAAACATTTCAGAGTATTTAGTTTTTCATGCTAAGTTCACATATTAGATTAAAAAATATTCAAGCTTGATGTTAAGACCAAGAAATACATTTTTATTGGCTTTGATGAAAGGAAGAAAAGTTAAAAATGCATGGATCCACAAACACATAGGTATGTTATTTCTCAAGATGTTGTGTTTGATAAAGTTTCTTGTTATTATCCTTCATATCTAAATTTTTTAAAATATCAATTACAATAATGAAAGTGATATATGTTTAAAACTTGTGGTTGAGTTTCTTTAACTAATACTTTTATAGATTTTGGCTCATCTTCTTCCTCGTCTATATCTATTCTTGTTATTTTTTCATCATCAATGATGGAGCAAAGCGACAGGGGGAGTACTGATGTTCGTGAAGAGACAATTTTAACATTGAGAAGATAAAAAAAAAAAAAATCAAACTAGAAAGATGGAGATAATGTAAGCATATGTTATTATTTTTTTTTCTAAACTAATTGATGATCTTAAGCTTACTTGTTTTGATGAAGCTAAAGGTATTAAGGTGTAGGAGGATACCATGAATAAAGAAATAAATGCTCTTCATAAAAATAAAATTTGAGATCTTATGTCAATGCTAGCAAATGTAGATCTAATTACTTACAAATGGGTCTATAAAGTGAAACGTAAGTCAGATCGAAGTATAAATCATTATAAGACAAGACTTGTTCTAAGGGTTTTTTTTTTCAAAAATACAAAGAAGATTATAAAAAAATCTTTAGTTCTATGGCCAAGATGATA